ACTTACTTCTCGTCTCAGGCGTCCATTTCGAAGTCCAGGAAGTTCCCTACAATAAAAAAAATAAAAAAAGAACATCAGTAAATGTTCTTAAACGAAATTAATATAAAAAACCCCCAGTTCCCACTTACTTCTCATTCTAGGCATCTATTTTGAAGTTTAGAAAGCACCCCTATAAAAAAAAGATTAAAAAAAATGTTAAATTATCGGTAATCAGATCAACAAGTCATATGATCTGTATAACCGATATTCCTATACCAAAGAATTCGTTATACAATACCGAATAATTCGTTATAGTGTTAACGAAGTTGCTTATAACGAAGCCCTGATCAGCTGGAACCTAGGGTTCGTTATATCGAGAGGGGACTGTACCTCTTATTTTAATACTATTGTTTACACTTTTTTTGTTTTGATGGCGATGGTTATATTCTATTAAAATAAAAGTTGTAAAAGGTAAAAAAGTAAATTGCATATATATGTATAGCTTAAAAGGGGCTTGAGTTTCGAACCCAGAAAAATTTTGATAATTTTTTTGAGTGTTTTGCTTTATAAAATACATACGTTTTATATTTATCTTATGGCGCATAAGATAAGTTAAAGCCCAATCGCCAATGCAAGGTGGGAAGTGCGGATTATTCTTTTTAAATTTACGAATAATAGCTGCTCTAATTTTTTTGTCGAGGTGTTTATATTGAACTTCATTTGGAGCATAACGATCAATAAGATCATAAAAAGCAGTTTGAAAATACAAAAAAAAAGAAGTATATAGTTATTATAATTATAATAATTCCTATGTATTTATTACTTAATTTTATTAACTTGTATTATTATTAGTATTTACCCTATAGCTTTCATATACACTTTTTTCTAAATTTAAATTTAAGTGCAAATTTGCAAATTGGCCTTTTCCTACTAGTGGCTTTGGAATTGGCGTAGTAATGATCTGACCAGATTCATTAATATCTTCCTCATCCTTAAGATATATAATAATTAAAAAGTATAGATTTATTTTAAATATGTAGTTATATACAGAATACACTATATTTAGAATATTATATACCTCTATATTATCTGATTCTTCAGAACTTGATTGGTCTGATACTTCTAGTACACATTTCTTTACATTCTTTTGAACGTTCTTACCTACAATATTAGTTAATACTGATTAGAAGCCATATCATTATCTTTACTATCTTTTTCAACTCTTTTATTTGCTTCATTTTTTAGTTCTTTATTTTCTTTTTCTAAAGCAGCAATACGAGATAAAATTGATGATAACACTTTTTCATCTGTTGTTTTTCATATATCACTATTATCTTCAGAATTATTAAGTTCCAAGTTATCTCCTGAACTATGTGGTTCACTATATTCTACTGGAATTAGTATTTTTTTGTCTAGCCATTATATTTAAAAAATTAAATGTAAAAGAATATTTATTTTTGTGATTATAATTGATTACTTATATAGATAAAATAGGCTAAAAATATACTATTTATAGACTATTTTATTATCTATAAAATTTACTATTTTTTATTGCGTTCATCAGTTTAAGCTATTTTTATTATTAATAATCCAAATTTTACTATTTATTCACGTTCATCAGTTTAAACTATTTTTTTTATTAGTTATAATCCAAATTTCACTATTTTTTATCGTGTTCGTTAGTTTAAGTTATTTTATATTATTAATAATCCAAAATTTAACTAATCAATTATAAATTAATAATTATAATAATTTACAACTAAATACAATATTATATCTAATAAAATTTTATTTTATTATGTTATCACAAAAATCAAATAAAGTATTATGTACTTGTTCAAAATGTAAACAACAAGATACAGAACAAGGTATTGGCCTCCTAATTTCTAAATCTGCTAGAACTAGACATCGGAAAAAAGAAAAAAAAACCTCAGTGATTTCAGATTCTTCTTTAAGCTCTGTAAATGGTCAAATTTAAGTCTCTTAGATGTAAACTTTAGTAGTTCAGAAAGCAAATCATCTCAACCAATTGATGAGCCTCTTAACAATGCTAATGTAAACTTTGATGAACCTCTTAATAATATTAACATAAATTTAGAAAATAGTTTTCTATACATGAAAATTGGACAAATATGGTTGATAGGGGTGATGACAAATGTAATTTTACTGATGTTGAAAATGAATTAACTTCGGATTCTCCAACTAATGAATCATCTGATTCTGAAGATTCTTTAGAAAATATGTCTGGTATGATTTCATCTGTTTAATTAAGAGTTTTTAAACAAAATTCTAATTAGTTTTAATTTTAGACTTTGATGAAGAACTATCAGATGAGATGTCATGTGCATTAAAATTACTTGATATCAAGTCTCACTGTAACATAAAAGTATGGTGCGCATGAATTTATTGATGCCTTTGCAATTGATCATTGTGTAGGATTTTTTAATCTTAATGGAATATATTATATAGTAGATAAAGAGTTTGGAGAAAATTTAGACAATTATTAATCCTACATAATTATTATATTATAAAATATATTAATTAAACAATATCAAAGAATTGTAAAAAGATTGGTGGGAGTAAAGAAAGTGTTATTAGGCTGATCACTGGTTAGATCCTGTGAATGAAACATGATTATTATAATCAGAACCTCATAAGTGAACCTAACTTATGAGAAGTAATTCATTGATCATTATAATAGTTCAGCTACTTGGTTTAATAACACTATTCTGCACATATTTTGTACGTTAAGTTTATATAAATGCTGTACAAATATTATATAAATTGCAAATTACAATTTTATGATTTGTTTAAATGTACATTTATTGGATATATTTTGTATATTTGTAAAAATTCTCCATTACTTATACACATATCAAAACATTTATTAGACATTTTAAGTATTTTAAAAAATGCAATTTTAAAAATATGGCTAATTTATGAGCGAATAATGAACACATTGAACATTATGTAACTATTTTATGTATAATTTATAAACAAAACGTTTTTATAGAAATATAATAAGGTGTTTGTTAGAATGAATTTGACTTGTGATTCACCAATTGAGTAGACTTATTATTCATGTAGAATTGAACATTCACAAGTTTGTTACTATTGTGGTGAGGAGAATAATCTTATCAACCCATCACCAGAAGTTTTATCCCGATTTAGAATAGTATATCCTTTATGCGAGGTTTGTCAAGAAAATGGTGTAACTTTTTTTACAAAAGGTAAACTTCAAATGAAAAAAAAGCAATGTGTATAATTGAAAATAATACTAAAATATAAAATAAAGAATAGTTACTTTTTTACATTTAAAAAAAGAATATAAAATCCTCTCTTATTTTAAAAGTTTTTAATATTGTAAAAAAAATTAATATAATAAATACTCCTCCCCTCAATTTTTACGCTCAATAATACTGTAAAAAAAAATCTGTAATTTTTTTTTTGACCCCATCCCCCTCTTTTTTTTTAGAGAAGATTCTTGTTAAACATAATTGTTTATTGGAATGGCCTTAGTGTAGTGTATATGAGTGGTAGGTCTCTAAGAACTTTGAATAAAAATGAACTACCATTGCACTACGCCTGCCATAAGATGGATACTGGTATAAGAGCAGATTTAGAGGTCCACATTATGCGTGAGTCCCTTAAATCTCTTCAGGTAGGACAACTTGACAACTTCTTCAGGCTTCTCCCGAGAGGTTGAATTTTATCATTAGCTTAGAATTTAGTAGACTATTAGTTTATAAGTATTAGTTATTTACTAATCTAGTAGTATATAAATAGGTTATCATCTGAAGGATGATGGCAGTATGATGGCCCATTTATATACTAAACTAGATCAGTAAATAACTTTTTTATCATCCTAGATATACTAATTGATCCGCCAGTTTATAACTGGCAGAAAAAATCCTAAATACCAATTAGTAGCCAGGTGATAATTAGTATTCTTATGTAACATTATCACTGGTAAAAAAATGATTTATCCTACACATATCTTACACATATTGGGTACTTAAAATGTAGAAAATCATACACAAATAATACATATATCATACACATATCGGGTACTAATATATATATCATACATATATCAGGTACCTGATAGGTATACTATATATATAAGTACCCGATATGTGTATGATATGTGTATTATTTGTGTATGATTTTCTACATTTTGAGTACCCGATATATGTAAGATATGTGTAGGATATGTGTAGGATAGACCATTTTTTTACCAGTGTATGCTTCAGTCGTGTCTATATTTTAAAAATAAAATAAAATAAAATAAAATAAAATTTTTCTTACACTTTCGTCTCTCCCCTTTTTACTCACTTTACTTTTTTACACACTCCTTCATCACTCTTTTATCTTCCCCTTTTATACTCACTCTTTCGTCTCCCTTTCCCTCTCGCTTTTCATCTTTTTCTTTCGTCCCTTTTATTTCGTCATTCACTTTTCCTTCTTTTTAGGTAACACTTCATTCTTTGGATATGGTATTTCAGTAAGTTTTTAATGTTTTTAATTTCCTTGTTTTGTCTTAATAAACTAATTTCAAAACTATTTTTTTTTTAGTTTTTCAGCTTTTAAATGTGTGAGAATTTTAGTAGGAGAGTTAGAAACTTTCTTTAATTTTACTTAATAAAACGTTTGCTAATATTTTCATTCTTTTTTTTATAGATTCAAGACGCTCTCAAAGTATCACTGGTCAAAATAGTCCAAATCAGCTAGAAATTGGATGTCTGATTTTAAGCTAAATTTGGTGATAAAGATGGCCGATTTATTAATTTAGGTAAAGTTCCAATTGGCAGGCTGATTGATGCCGATCAGAATATTCAAATTGTATCTGAATTGCTTAGTATTTTTAATCCAAATTGTTTAAAAAAATATATTCATAAATTTACCAAATTTATTCTAAATTATGGTAAATTTGTGACAAAATTTTTTAAATTATATGGTTTGGGATACAACAATTCATTAAATAAAATTGTTCAAATTAGAAATTTAATAAAAATATTTTGGATATATATATTTAAAATAACTCAACATAGTTTAATTGTTACTAACTTAAACTACAAAATGACGTTGAGATTATCCTGATTGGTGATCTAAATCAAAAGTTATTAGCCTGCAAAGTTCAGTATTTTCTTAATAAACAGTAGGATTTGAAACATCTAATTCAGGCCAGAAATTGACAAAATTCTATAATTTAGGCCAGAACTATGACTGGCTGAGAGGTAATGCAGATCATAGAATTTTTTCCCATGGCACGACTAAAGAGACAAGCATAACACTGTCAAAAAATAGCTAAAAAAAGAAAAAAAGCTGTGAAAGATTTGTTCCAGATTTTATTTTTGAAAATATTGATGATTAATAAAGTAAAACATTTCCCGATATGGTTTGATTTTTAACCAATTGCAAATTAGTGTTATATAAATCACGTGATTTTTTAAAATCTCAATTTGAAACAACTTGATGATTTGTTATGTCCCCAACTATAGTAAAATTTATTCTGAATTGTAGTAAAAATTTATTCTGAATTGTAGTAAAATTTATTCCAATTTGTAGCAAAATTTATTTCGAATTATAGTAAAATTTATTCTGAATTGTATTGCAAATTACAGTAAATTTTATTCTGAAATTTAAAATATTATATATACATTTAAAGCAATTTTACCAAAAATCATCCCAACTTTCTAACAAATCCAGTATATGTTAAATTCCTTAATTCCCATTCGTTTCTAAAATTGTAGATGATTTTCCTACAAAAAAAAAAGAAAAAACGTTAAAATAACATTTTTTTTAAGTTTCAAGTTTTGAAAATCAAAAAGTTACCTGTAAGATGGCAAATCGGAGGAGTGCTATAGAAAGGAGTATGGTCGGGTCAGCGTGATGAGTAGAGTATGGAACCCTATGTGACAGTTTACTCAAGTGATAAATAACATGACGGGCCAAACACGTGATTTGGAGTGGCTGAGATGCTATACATCACCTGCGTATGGTTCACACCCCTTATGTTATACACTGCCAAACGTTATTACAGAAAGGAGTATGGTCGGGTCAGGGTGATGAGTAGAGTATGGTGACATTTGGCGGTGGAGTGTGAACCATACTCAGGTGATGTATAGCATCTCAGCCCACTCCAAATCACGTGTTTGGCCCGTCGTGTTATTTATCACTTGAGTAAACTGTCACATAGGAGTTCATACTCTACTCATCACCCTGACCCGACCATACTCCTTTCCGTAGCACTCACTGCCAAATGTCACCATACTCTACTCATCACGCTGACCCGACATACTCCTTTCTGTAATACCAAAATCGGAGCTGATTTCCCTACAAAAAAATTAATAAAATATAATAAAAAAACATTAAATTAAATGTTTTTTATTGAGTTTTGTCAAAAAGTTTCAAAAATCAAAACTTTACCTGCGGGATTCTGGCATCCAAATTGGAGTCAATTTCCCTGCAAAAAAAAATAATAACAAATTAAAAAATGTTAAAATACACATTTTTTTATTAAGTTTTGAAAATATGAAACTTTACCTATAGAATTGGCCAATTCAGAGCCGATTTCCTATAAAAAATATAAAAAACGTTAAAATTAAACATTTTTTATGAAAGTTTCAAAGTTAGAAGAACTTTGAAACTTTACCTATAGGATTGGCCAATTCAGAGTCGATTTCTTATAAAAAATATAAAAAACGTTAAAATTAAACGTTTTTTATGAAAGTTTCAAAGTTAGAAGAAACTTTGAAACTTTACCTATAGGATTGGCCAATTTGGAGCCAATTTCCTATAAAAAAATATAAAAAACATTAAAATTAATGTTTTTTTATTAAGTTTCGAAAATACGAAGATTTAGCCAAATCGGAACCCCGCACTTTAGTGTTCTGGACCTACAAAATTAAGAACAAACGTTAGTTAACATTCATTAAAATAAAATAAAAAAAAATTTTTTTTCGAAGTTTCACCTTCGAAATGCCGCCCAGAAAGCCAAAACCCTAAAAAAGAAAGAAAATCAAAACGTTAATCAACGTTTCGTTCAAATAAAAAAAGAAAAAAAAAATGCAAATTTCGAAGAGGTACCTTCGAAATTCCATCCAGATATCCGAAAACCCTAAAAAAAAAAGAAAATCGAAACGTTAGTCAACATTTTGTTCAAATAAAAAAAAGAAAAAATGCGGAATTTGTAGTCAAAGATTTTCTGGTGAAGATCGAAATGCCCATATATAGCAAGTAATATGTCCGTTTTGTTTTGGAACATCTATATAGGCGGGGAAATCGATTTGCATTGTGATGGCATTTCAAGAAGCTAACCCGAACTATAAAACCAATATACCTTATGTTTACTTTGCAGATTATACTTGTTTATTCGATTGTTGATATGTGATGTAAATAATGGTAAGTTTGAATGTTTCGCTTTTTGTTTTATTTGTACAAGGCGGATAAATGGATTCGCTAAATAATGCCTCACCTTTTTATATGATTTGTAGTGGGTTTAGTGGGTTTCCCTATAAAAAATTTTTATCCGAATATTTCCGTTATTTCTCCGTGTCTTCCATAAAAATTCCGTGAAAATGATATTAGCGAGATGAAAATTTCCATGATTTATGGCTATAAATTCCATTAAAATGATACATTCACGGAAATATTAACATGGAAAGATAAAACACGGATCAGATTTTTTATAGGGTTTAAGGATCGATTTTTGGAATAAATCTTTGGGGAAATTACGTTATTATAATTCATCACGAAAATCAGATCACGGATACTCTTATTATTAATACACGCAAAAGCTTGCGTATATGTGGGAAGTTATTACTTGTTCCCGTGACGTTGTTTTTTGAATGATACTGCGCATTTATCAAGTTCGGATCCCGGACGAAAAACTGATCGAGAAATATTAGCAATCCTACATTCTCTTTTTGAATAATATGGAACCGGTTTCTAAAAAAAGTTCGGTAAGTCGAGAATTCATTATATCATTGATAATGGTAATTGTCATGTACTCGGACCTGCAGATGGAGAAAAAAAATTGAGATTTTTTTTTCCTCCATCCCGGAACCTGCAAACAGAGAAAAAAAAAGTTTTTTGTACAATTATAATCCATAATAGAAAAAGAACTAGGAATTTATACTAGTATATAATTACTTATTAGAAATTTGTATTATTTTCAAACTTTTAATTTCTCTAAGTTTTTACCCGTGATATTATAATATTATCTAATTAAATTACTAATTACTTTTCTCTCTATTGTAATAAAGAATTAAGATTAATGATTAATATAAACTACTTTTAAGATATAATCCTTAAAGATATAGCTCTAGAACAACTCTTATTTATAAGGGAATTCTAAATTCTATTCTATATTATTCTAAATTATCAAGATTATATTCTGCGGAGAAAATAATTTTTTTTTCCGAAATATATAAACAGAGAAAATTTATGTTTAACAGTTGCATCGCTTCTTGTGACTTCTTAATAGAAGCTTAAGTTGTGCGCGAGCCGCATTTAAAGTCTCCTGGGGGCTTAAATTGTTTCTCTTTTGTTGAACCACCTTATTTCTTGTCTCATTGATCCAAGGGTTTACTCCAGGAATCTCGATACTAAAAAAAAATAAATCGATTAAATAAGTCGATTAAAATAATAGAAATCTTATCAAATTATAACTTACGAATCAAATTCCTTTACATTGTGGATGTCAACTCTCTTTTCGCTAAAGCCACGTGTATTCTTGTTAGATCGAACGATTAATTCACTAATTTCTTTCTACATGTCATCACTATTATTAGAATTTAGGAAAAAAATAATAGAATTCACAAATCATCAACGAAGACTTACTGTTGTAGACAATCTTGTTCCATTTGAAATTCCCGAGGCGTATCTTTTAGAAAGATAAAAATCTATTAATTCTTTCCATTCTACGATATAATTAGGTCCGAGTGGTGATGGCACATGTGGTCTATACCTAATATAAATGGGTAGAGATTGCGTCTCTTTATCATTCATAATAAGGACCAAAAAATTTATTAGTAAACATATTTTAAATGAAACACTTATATGATTAATTCAATTCTATTCTCACTTACTCAATCTCATCCCGGATTGTTCTTTTCTTGGCATGATTTCTGGTTCATCGGGTATATATAATTGAAGACGGAATTTTGGACTATGATTATTATTATTAAATTTAATATTTGAATGCTAAGTATTTTTACATGTTATTTATGTCATTTCAAAATTCGAAGTAAAAACTTCTACAAATATCAACACGTACCGTTCTTCAACTAGATTGTAGAATCTGTGCGCACCGAAGCCAACACCAATTGTGAGGACTAAATGTATTTGTACTCCATTTATATTTCTCACAACATCACGATAGCCATTAGTATTTGCACAGGATGAGCCAGCTTTAAGAGCACGTTTTGCAATAAGCGATAATATTCCAACAGACGACGTACAGAACTTAGCTATAAGCTGAAGGATCGAAACAAAAATGTGGATGATTGCAATGAAAGACCAAAAAACTGGCGTGATAAGTAAAGCCAAAACTAGAAGTAGTGCTAATACTACAAGGAAGTGTATAAGCGGAGATTTTTCAGAATTATAACTCATATTCAATAAGCTTCATTGCGAGCGAAGCAAACGAATGTTAACTCAACAGTTAAACTCGACAAACTCGAGCTCTTCAAAAATCGAAAAAAATTTATTCACGTGACGTGACGATCTTCTCGTATTATGAGTCAGTAGTTACTATAAATAAGTCTTTAATTACAATAAATTACGAATAATGAATTTTTATTTTTCAACAAATAGTCTTCCATCATCTCTTTCTGTAAAGAAAACATGTTCAGTTTCCCACTCTTTACTCTCAAGTGCACTAATAAGACTCTCAAATGAATTCTCCACTAAGATATGAGTATCTCGGATAATATCTAACACTTGATCTTTATCTTCGGACGTAGCAGGATCGACATATTCCAGAGCATGTCTAATCGCACATGCGTGACAAAATCCCTTAATCATGTCTCTAGTGTTAGCATTTTGCGAAAACCATAATGAAAGATGTTGTCTGCTACCAGGCAGCTGAGTATGGTGTTTATGTCGGTGAGAATTTTGTTGTATAGGACGTTTCATTTTCCTTAAATTGCCAAACAAATGGTGATAAGGAACATGTAAAAGGAAGTATTCCTCAGAGTGAAGTAACCCCTTTTGTTTCAACGCAGCATGCAAATCATGGACATGCTTTTTAGAAGTATAATGATGCAAAGCTGGTTCTATTTCCAATGGTATTTCAAATGGAGAATGATAACGTCCAACAAATATCTCCTCAGATGAAACTTTTTTTGGCGACGATATAAGATCTCTAATGTCACACTTGATCTTTGACAATGTTGTTGCTCCATCAAGTTGATTTAACAAGCCATATAGAATCATTTCTGCACGTGGGACATTTAAGGTACTAGTAGTTACATAGAGACTAGATCTATAATTACCATAAATGTTGAAAAATGAAAATGGACCAAACGCAAGAAAGATTGGAATAATAGGTTGAACGGCAGATGTTGCAGCAGTAATATCTGGATTATATTTGGTGATAGTACCGCTTATGACAACACCAAGTGCCGTTCCTGTTTAATTTTATATAAAATCGAACGTTAAAGTATGGAAACAAACATGAATAAACTATAATAAAGCTAACATGCCTATTAAACTTGCTGCCGTAGTTTGCGATCCTGACTTTCCGGTAATGTCTCCTAAACTATTACAACGAATGACAGTTAATTTAATTTCCTGCCGCAACAAAATCGTAGCTAGAATTTAACTTACTTATCTCTTAACGCGAATGTTTTATGCATCTGTGCTCTAAATAAATATAAAACTAAATAAATATCCTTAATATGTCAAGTAATAAAATATTTGTGCAAATTACCTTGTTGCAGACCCAGCTAACCATGCAATATTTTTACCTATGTGCAGTAAATTTGTTAAATTGACAATTCTTATATTACTTTATGTATATCATCGCAAGATTTACCTATATTTGAAATTGAAGCAATTAGCAAAAACGAGCCCGGCCATAATGGAGCCAATAATTCCAAGATTGAAGCAATTTGCATTGCGACAGTTGCTTGAAAGCGATGACGTTTTGGTTCAGAATCAAAACGGTCACTAATGAACGCGGCATAAATTACACCGCCTAATTGACCTAAACCATCTTTAATGATCCAATTCAATGCTGCAGCGAGCTTTGTGGATGAAATTGATATATTAGATATTTTATTCTCTCCGACAAAGCCGCATATTGCACTATTGTAACTTGATTTGACATACAGGAATTGACTTTGCTCCAAGTCCCATAGCGTATAGCAAGGACTGCGTCGACAGAACTATGTAAAGCTAACGATCAACGTTATTGTTATTATTATACAGTTTGACATTCAATTAAACTTACCTCCCGTAACTGATCCTGCTACATTATGAAGGAATTGCCATTTTACAAATCCCCAGTAATTTTTAGTAACTGAATCTGGATATCCTTTTGGCATAAATGCCTTAATCATTTGTCTTTTTCCTTCTAAAATTAAGTCATTAATTGAGGTTTTTTTAATGGAACGTAATGGTAAGTGCTCGTATGTCATTTTCGGTTCATTAGATATTTTGGATGATTCGTTTTTTTCGTCAGGAGGAAAACTAATTATGGTTAGTTTAGAACGTAAGAATCTACCAGTATGTTGTTTAACACGAATTGATTGATGAGTTTGTACATTAGAATTTTTATTAGAATTATATAAAGTTCGAGAGTCTAACTTTCTGTATTGCAATTTCAAATTTCGTCGCGTATTACTAGAAGTGTTTGCTATAAAGGATAAATTCCTTAAAGATTTGCGCCAGATATCTCCTTCCCATGCTTTCCATACAAAGTTTAAAGTCATGTTTTTAAAAGTTTTATGAATTCTAGAAATTAAACTGAGAGAATGATGGATGATCAAAAAACGGGTGTAATTTGTATACTTTCTAAAATAGTAATTGATATTTGATTATCTTAGATAACTTTTTTGATAAGAAATTCATTCGTAAACATGTTTAGAGTTTCTCAAAAACTCCCTTTAGCATTTCTATCCTCGTTTGGCTTTCCTTCTTCCACAATTGCATATAGGTTTTATACAACTGTAAAACCAAATTTAAAACTTTTACAACAATTACGCCAAGAAACGCAAGTTAGTATTACAAAAGCAAAAGAAGCGTTAACAAAGCATGATAATGATTATGACGTAGCATTATCGTGGATTTTAGAAGATTCTAAAACTAGTGGTGTTGCTAAAGCTGAAAAACTTAAAGGAAGAGTTGCTAAAGAAGGATTGATTGGAATTGTATTAACAAAAGGAAAAGAAGTTATGGGAAATACGAGAGGTGCAATTGTTGAGGTATTAAAAAATTTTTTATTATTGTATACAACTATTTTTTTTAAGTAAATTTTTTTTTTTTCCTCTCACAAAAAATTATTATTGCTATGTATATATGCTGTCTCTTATACACATCTAGATGTGTATAAGAGACAGGTATATATGTATATTAATTCATAAATTATTCACGAATTATACTAAAATTATAGGTAAATTGCGAAACTGACTTTGTTTCGCGTAATACTCTTTTCCAACAATTTGTTACTCAAATCGCATCTACATCTCTTTTACTATCTTCCGATATTGCGCCTATTTATTCGTCATCTTCCAATTCTGCCCCATTCATTCAATCAATACCACTTTCACTTCTCCAATCTTCACCTCTGCTTCCTCATCCATCAACTTCATCATCTTTTGCTAATCTTTCTTTAACTACCATTCAAGAATCTATATCAGAACTTGTAACTAAATTAGGTGAAAACATTAGTTTACGTAGAGCTGAAGCCGTAATGTTTCCAGATAATAACGAATCTTCAAATGAAAATAGTTACATTTTGACGGGTGGTTATGTTCATGGTGATGATTCATATACAGGAAGAATTGGAGGATTAGTTGTTATAAAATTATTAGGTAGACCTGCAAAACAAAATCAAAATTCCCTATACTCTTCAGAACATATAGCTAAATTATTGAGAAATTTATCCAGACAGGTTGTTGGATTTAATCCCAAGTACATTAGCAAAAATGACATTAAAGCAATTCAAGATGGAATTAATAGGGATGATTATATAAAAGAAAATGTTTTATTAAATCAAGATTTTTTAATTGGAGGTGGCAGTGTAAAAGATGTTATAGGGAAAATAGAAAAAGAGTTAGGAGTTGCGATTGAAATAATAGATTTTAGAAGATGGGAGCGTGGGGAAGGAATAAAAAAATCGGAAGGAGATTTTGCTAAAGAAGTTATGAATCAAGCAAGTTTATTTTAAATAATAAAAATCAGAATGATTATCTGTTATTTTAAAATATTTCACGTGATTAAGTGAACCGTTATTTTGCTGCGCCACGGTCACGTGGTTTTTGCTCGCATAAAACATTTTTTTTTTTTTTTTGACAATCTATTTTTAACTGATCCTTGATCAAAGGTATTGAACACTTTTGCTTATTTATTAATATTTTTTTTTTTTTTAATTTTTTTCGTCATAAACTCACTCTTAGTATTCATAATGTTTTCTAGAAATCTTTTATCAATGACGTTGTTGGAAGCACTAAATCGCTTAAATGAAACAGACGGGAGTTTGGTAATAGAAGAGAAGGAAATTAGAGACGCAAGTATCACAGAAAATGGAATTGACAAACAGGTAGTGTCATATGTTTTATTCAGGTATAAGTTTTTATTTAGATACTTTTTAATAATGCCTTATCTTTAAAATATATTCTTAGGTGAACGGAATTAAACCAGAGCTTGCTAACAAAAATACTAAAAAGAAAAATCAGAGTTATTTGCAAAACGAATCTAATTTACTTGCTGATATTCTAGATCCTACTTTAACTCCTACTGGAAAGGAGATTGAAAAAAAAATTGAAAACTTCGCAGCGAAAAGCGAATCACAATATTTAAAATCTAAATTAAAAAACCATTCAATTGAACCTAAAAAATATGATGAATACCTAAAAATTTATTTAAAACAATCTCGTAATGATAATCAAAGCACTAAAGACCAGGATATTGTTTTAAATAATATAGATAATAACGAAGATAATATATTCACATTATCTTCATGGCAAAAAGAAATGGAGGAAGGACAAAATGTATCACTGCAATCCGAATATATAGAAATGAAGTCAAGAGAATTCGCCAAGGTAAATAACCATTTTTTTGTCATATATCAACCATTTTAAAAAGTCTTATAAATCAATCATTCTTACATCATCCTGAAAAACTTAGATGAATACACGTATACCTATATTTTCGAATGATTTTATCAAAAAAGTAGTATCATATTGCATATCGCTAAACCCGGATGGAACTCCTAATATGAATTTTTGGTCTGCTTCTTTATTTCAATATCTTATTGAGAAAAATCTCTTATCCGACAGTTATGTGAAAGATGGAATCGTCAAAGCTTTTATCGAAAGAAATTCATGGGTAAATTTTAAAATTTCTCTTTTTTTAAAAAAAATGTTAATTTCATTGTTCTATTTATTGACAGAATTTCATAAATTGATAGGGTATAATGAAACTTGCTATAATTCATGTTACCGATATACCTGAAAAAGATCTTGTATACCTATTGAAATACTTGATATCACTATCATCCTCAAAACAATTGGTATCAAAGAGCTCATCATCTTCAAAAAAAGAAAAGAAAAAATCTAAAAAACCTTCAATTGAAGAGTTTTTCGCATTAATTATTTGTGCTCCAAGGAATGATAGTAAGATGATGGAAGCTTTAAAAACTTTGAATGAAGACGAATTATTTTATATAATTCAAATTTTGTGTAAATGGATTGAAAAACATGATAAAACTGAAATAATATTTGATACAACATTAATTGAGGCGTATGGAAAATATGAATTTTCTAGTAAGAAGGTTGCTGTATTGAAAAAGATAAAGGACGTACCAGATTTTCATTTCGTAAGTACAAATTATAAAGCTGATTATTATTTAACAAATAATAATAATAATAATAATATAATAATTTGAAATATTATAATCTTTTTTTTTTTAATAATAATATTTAATAGGCTATAGATTTTATGACCTTAATTTTTGATATACATTTTCCTAATTTTATTATTTCCAAAAAATTCCATCCGCTTCTTACTCATATATCAAATTTAATAACACAAGAATTAACAATATATGAGTCATTGGAATCTATGAGAGGATGTTTAGAATTATTTCACCGAAATCATCAAGAGATTGAAAGAAAAAGAAAGTCTGAAAAAATGCTTTCGACGGAACAATCAAGAGATAATGGGAAGAAGAACAATTATTGGTTAAATGATGGTGATATACCTATTTATTCAGTAGAATTATTTAGCTTTTTTGGGGAAGAAAATGAAAATCCTATATTAGATGAAGCAAATATTGATATGGATGAATATGATAATGATGTGCATGCCGAATTAGATAATGATGATGACACAAATAAAGAGCGAGAAAAAATGGCGGATGTCAATTAATTTTTTTATGTATTTTATTTTAATCTAGTACGCTGAAACCTCAAATGTCAAAAATTCATAAAATTATATAAAAAAAATCAACGTTTTTGCAAAACATTTAATTAAAATATGTAGATTATACAGATTACTTCAATGAAACAATGAAAAATTCATCTTTTATTTTTTGTTCCTAAAAGACAAGGTTTTATAATGCCAATTAGCATAATGAAATTAAAAAAAATTAACGATAAAAAAAAAATTATCATTTCCAGTTTACCACGAAATTAATAGATTCTTTCAAACTACTTATGAACAAATTCCAAAATAAAGAACTGAAGACTAACTAATACTAATTATTTTGCCAAAATTTGATAATTTGGGCCAGATTAACTGTATTGTGTGTGTCGTACATAATATTTAATTAACCTTTACGGGAAATGGGATTTTATCACAAGAAAAGTGTTTTAAATTTGACGTTTAGCAAATGAAAATTTTTAAAATTACAAGATCCATAAGATTTATATTACTTCACATAATTTTTGGAACTTTTGCTATTATATTATCCTGGGTCAATTTTTAATTGTTTTCCTAATTTAACGAGATTTTGCAATACTTTAATAATCTTATTTTCAAAGTGCTTGTCAACTAAGCTACCATCTTCATTAAAAGCATGGACAGCGTCAGCAATCGTAATCAAAGGTCTAATAAATAAATAATTTTAATAAAAATTTAATATATAATACACATATTAAATATACATACACATATCATATATAATGAAAAAGTTATTTACTTATTAACCGGAACCATATCCAAGAAAACTAAAGACTGTCTTAAAACAAATTGAGCGCGTCCAGAACCCGAAGAACCTGCAGCACCTATTATTGCTGCAACCTTACCCGCAAATACATGTCCACGATCTCCAACGGGCCTACTTGCCCAATCTATTGCATTTTTCAATGGACCTATTGTATATACAGTACATAAAAAGTAAAAAATATATATAAAATACTTTTTATTTATTATTTACTGAAAATTTAATTTTATTTACCCGGAATACTGTAGTTATATTCTAAAATAAGGATAAAATTTTGTCAATAAAAAAAATTTATAAAAGATTTAAACTATTATTACGTTTACCTGGTGTAGAAAATATGATTGCATCATGGTCAGCGAGAGAATTTTTGAAATCAAGTACCGATTGTGGAGGATTAGATTCGAGATCCTTATATATTTAAGTAATAATGTTAAATTCGGAGTTTTTTTTTTAAGATGTAAAGCAGTGAGCACCTGATTATAAATGGGCACTTGACCCCAATCGATGATTTCGATAGTAGCTCCTTTGATATGTTCAGAACATAATTGTTGTGTACGAAGAAGTAATTTTTTATTACAGCTATCTTTACGAAGTGATCCGCATATTCCTGCAATTTTAAACACAGACATTATAATAGAATTATAGCGAAAAGGTCTATTTTTATACTCATCTCTTTATATGTTTTGTGGCGGGTTCGAAGTCATAAAAATACATGGGTACCAAGAATGCATTGGTAATTATAATGTGCACAAAAAGTAATCTGCAAATCTTATGTGATTACTCAGACATTTTCCTAGAACCTTGGGCCTTTGGTTTAATAATCCGACTTAGGAGTTATTTCATAAAAACAAATCCGGATTAATTATGTAATATCGTGAATTTGATTAACCAAACCCGATCGTAAACTGAAATTATTTAAAAGTCATTTACCATTTTACCTTTTTATATGCTAATTGAACATCCGTGATTTGGATCTCTATTTATTATTACAGTTTTTCTAAAATTCAAAAGAGGCTGCGTCGATATTTAACTTTATCGAGATTCATCTCAAATTATTCGTATACTCTTTTCTGTAATATTGGTAATATTTTAAAGTAGCCGGAAAAACAATGATCCAGGATACAATATCTGGTCGCTTCCTATAAATGGTAAATGATCTCCCTTGCAACTCTATATGATTAACATGAGGAAGCTACGAATAGTTAGTATATCTTTTTAATTTAATTTTAATAACCATATATTATTTAAAGAGCTTCATCTTCAATTAAAGGTTTTTTAGATTTTTTCTTTTCTTTTTTTTTTGAAGAGTTTTTCGCATTAATTATTTGTGCTCCAAGGAATGATAGTAAGATGATGGAAGCTTTAAAAACTTTGAACGAAGACGAATTATTTTATATAATTCAAATTTCGTGTAAATGGATTGAAAACATGATAAAACTGAAATAATATTTGATACAACATTAATTCGTATGGAAAATATGAATCTTCTAGAAAGAATGCTGTTGTATTGGAAAAGATAAAGGACGTACCAGATTTTCATTTCGTAAGTACAAATTATAAAACTGATCAAAAAAAAAATAACAATAATTTGAAAATTTTTTTTTAATAATAATATTTAATAGACTAGACTTTATGACCTTAAATTTTGATATACATTTTCATACTTTTATTAAAAATTCCACTTCTTACTTCATATATTAAATTTAATAACACAAGAATTAATAATATATGAGTCATTAGAATCTATGAGAAGATGTTTAGAATTATTTTACCGAAATCATCAAGAGATTGAAAGAAAAAGAAAGTCTAAAAAAATGCTTTCGACGGAACAATCCAATGTCAAAAATTCATAAAATTATATAAAAAAATCATTTTTTGCAAAACATTTCCTAAAAGACAAGGTTTTATAATGTTAATTAGCATAATGAAATTTAAAAATTGGGTAACGATAAAAAAAAGTATTACCACGAAATTCTATCAAATAGGTTCTTTCAAATTTCAAAATAAAGAACAACCAATTATTTTAAAATTAAGATTAGCTGATACTATAAATCAAGGTAATTATTTTCCGGCCAAGATTTGATAATTTAACTGTACTGAGTATCTCGTACATAATATAATTAACCTTTACGGGAAATAGGATTTTATACAAGAAAACTAATAAATTTGCAGGACGTTTAAATAATTATAACTTTATTTGTAATTTAGACATGAAGATTTTTAAAATTACAAGATCAATATTATTTTTGGAACTATTGCTATTATATTATTCTGGATCAATTTTTAATTGTTTACCTAATTTAACGAGATTTTGCAATACTTTAATAATATTATTTTCAAAATGCTTATTAATTAAGCTACCATCTTCATTAAAAGCATGGCCTGCGTCAGTAATCGTAATCAAAGGTCTAATAAATAAATAATTTTAATTAAAATTTAATGTATAATACACACATGTATATATAATGGAAAAAAAAGTTAATTACTTATTAACTGGGACCATATCCAAGAAAACTAAAGACTTTCTTAAAACAAATTGGGCGCGTCCAGAACCCGAAGAACCTGGACCGGAACCTGGACCGGAACCTATTATTGCTACAGCCTTACCCGCAAATACTTGCCCACGATCGCCAACGGGCCTACTTGCCCAATCTATTGCATTTTTCAATGGACCTAATAAAAAATAAAAAATATATATAAAATAACTTTTATTTATTATTTACTGAGAATTTCTTTAATTTTATTTACCCGGAATACTGTAGTTATATTCTAAAATAAGGATAAAAATAAAAAATTTTTGTCAATAAAAAAATTTATAAAAGATTTAAAACTGTTATTATGTTTACCCGGTGTAGAAATTATGATTGCATCATGGTCAGCGAGAGAATTTTTGAAATCAAGTACCGATTGTGGAGGATTAGATTCGAGATCCTTATATTTAAAGTAATATAAATGTTAATTCGGAGTTTTTTTTTTTAAAGATGTAAAGCACCGAGCACCTGATTATAAATGGGCACTTGACTCCAATCGATAATTTCGATAGTAGCTCCTTTGATATGTTCAGAACATAATTGTTGTGTACGAAGAAGTAATTTTTTATTAAAGCTATCTTTACGAAGTGATCCGCATATTCCTGCAATTTTAAACACAGACATTGGTTTTTTAATAAATGTAAAGAACTTAAAGTAGAATTATAGCGAAAAGGGCTATTTTTATACTCATCTGTTATGAATATGTGAGTAAAGATCGTCAAGAATGCAATTAGTAATACTATTAATAATGTGATGAATAAGTAATCCTGCAAATCCCATGTGATTACTCAGATACTTCCTAGAACTTTTGGTTTTAATAATCCGACTTTTCAATGAAACAAAATCCGGATTAATTATTATTGTACGACTTTTTTTAGCGCAAAGTTTCATCAGTTTTTTTTAAAAAGGAAGAAAATAACTAATTTCGGAAGAATTCCAAATTCCTTTGCATGTTACATAAAAAAAAATCAGAGATTTTTGATCGTAAACTGTAAATCATTTAAAAGTCATTTACTCTTTCATAACTAATGGTGATTTTGATCTATTTATTATTACAGTTTTTCTAAAATTTAAAAGAGACTGCGTCGATATTCAACTTTATCGAGATTCATCTCAAATTACTCGTATATCTTTTGCCCTTTGGCCGGAAAACAATGATCCAGGATACTACGGATATAATAAAAAATGGTAGCTATCAATTACGGATAATAGAAATAAAAGTCGGTAAGCGATTTAGTCGAAAATACCATCAAAAAATTGCCTTATAAAATAAGATTGATATAGTCGCCCTGTAAATGGTAAATGATCTCCCCGCATATGGAAATATTATACTAAGAAGCTGCGAATAGTTAAGCATATCATTTTAATTTAACTTTTAATAACCATATATTATTTAGAACTTTGTGCCCATTTGTAAATGTGATAGTTACTGGAGATAGTTAGTTGTCAATCAAATTAATCGTTTTCAGAAATTTTTATGACGTTCAAATTAATAATTGGTACGATGCACTTTTTTCAAAGATGATGATTTTTCGTGAGAATAATGATGTTACGCCTTCCGTCATTCCCGTTTATATCCATGATAATTTCATCTTTATCGGAAGCGTTATTTCTAGGAAATTTGAGTATAAATTCTTTTAATTCCTGTGGCGCTATCCGAATTTGTTCTGCGGATATAGTTTAGATCATCGATGAGTTCGGAAGATCGGATGGTATTTTTCCTGTATTCCCTGTATCGGCTATTACCATCCCGGTTACACGATTTTTTTTTAGTTTAAAATAAAGGTTACAAAAAAGATTTTCCTTTTAGCATTCTGTGCAGAAATTTTCTTAATTCAATTTTCTTTTCAAAATTTTTTTTTTTTTAAAAAAAAAAAAATTTATATGTAATAAAAGGCTAATCAAATATAACTTTAAAAAAAAAATTTTTTCTATTTAATCATCATCATTTAATCATCATCATCTTAATTAAAAAAAAAAAATTTATATATATAGAGAGATGTCCTCATTTTTACCCCTAGAAATTTTTGAAGAAATTTTTGAAAATTTACACGACGACAAAATAACATTACATTCATGTATTCTTGTTAATCGTTCATGGTGTATTACAGCAATACCTATATTATGGAGACGACCTTTTTTATTATTAAATAAACCTTCCGTGAAACTTATTCATACTTATATAGCTAACGTCTTTGATCAACTGGAAAGTGAAGTGAGATTAACTAAATATATCAAGAATTTATCTCGACCATTCTTTAAATATTCAATATATTTGAAAGATTTAAGAACTAAATTTTTAACAATAAGTATTAAAGATTGGGTTAACGGGATGGAAAATCAATTTGAAAGCGAATTAGAAGGATTATTCTTTGATTTTAATAAAGTTGAATTGGTTTGTCATTTATATTCATTACTTATTAAAAATTTTACATCAGTACAAAATATTATTCATTGTTCTTTAGAAAATTTTCAAAGTTTACGTGGACAACACATAGAATATTCACCTAAATATCCGAAATTTTTACGATCTTTACAAATTGAAATTAAATATGATAATCATATTTTATCATATTTAACACGAATAAATTGTGTCACTTTAGAAGAGATATGGATAGGTCCTTTAATTTCTGGTGTACAACTTGATTCTTTATCACATTTGATAAAACTTCAAAATTCTTTAAAAGATTTTCGATTATACGGACCAAGATGTGAATGGCTTGGAGTTCCAATAGAGATCATATCAGCTTTATCCACTCAATATAAGACCCTTCATACCATTAGATTTTCTGAATGTAATTTTTCTTTTTATAACCTCTTTGATTATTTGGGAATTTGTCAAAATTTAAAAAATTTAGAATTTCATAATTGTGATTTTCCTGAAGATCAAGCAACTTCTTGGTGTAATGTAACTTTTCCAAACTTGGAAATTCTATCATTTGTTGGAGTGGTATATTTAGATGTAGAAAAGGTAACAACGATCGTAAAGAATAGTCAAAAGAATTTATCAAAAGTTTTCTTACCATGTATGACACCACAAGAAGATTTAACAATGTTTACGGAAATATTGGTGAATTGTAAGAATGTTACATGTTTCGCATTTTGGGCTAACATAGATGCAGAATTGGACGCGGCTTTTCGTGCTTTAGAATCTTTTAATAGATTAGAATGTTTATCAATTGACAGTGAAGATGGATTAATTCTTAATTCTAATCAACTTTCACAACTTGGAAAGATTTTGACTCCTACTTTACGACATCTTGAAATTTGTGTTGATACTTCAGCTGAATCTTTTGAACAATTCTTATTAAATTTAACAGCTAATCTTGAATCTTTAACATTATCATGGTGTCCTAATATAAGTGATGATCACATTAAAGTTATTATAGGATATGCTCAGAGAAATTCACAATTAAAGTATGTGGCTTTGGATAATGATAGAAGTACGAATTTAAGTGATGTAGTTATTAATGAAGCATTACAAGTTATTCCTTATTTTCGTATAGAAAGTATTGATTCTTGTGAAGTCATTAGAGCATGGTTTGATGATTCTATATATATGTTAAACAAGTAAGTTTTTTAATAAATATAAATAATTATTTATTTATATTAATTTTTAAATGTGAATTTAGTAAACATAATTTTTATAGTTCTTCTGTTGTAAATAATTTAGCTATAATGAACAATATTTAAATGATATAATTGATCTGGAAAATTGTGGAAGAATTTTATGAGATCTCTTTTTTTATGTAAGTTTTTTTTTTCTTTTTTTTTGGATATATATTAACAAATAATTCAAAAAAGAGTTTGATTTTTTGAAAGAAAGAAAATTTAAAAAGAAGAATATTTAGAAGTTGGATTTTTGGAAGAATTTTTTTTTTAAAAAAAAATAAGAGAAATGTGTTTAAAATATATTTAAAAGAGCTACTTAAAGAAGGGGATTTTTTTAAAAAAGAATAGAATTTTAAAAGTTTATATATAGATTATTTGTTTTACAAGTTTTATGCAAAATGCAAGAAAAAAAAAATCAAAATAAATAAAAAAAGAATTTCGTTAAAAAATATATCATTTGTTTTTTCCTCGTCGTGAATTTAATAATTTACCAGAAGTGGGCCGATATCTGCTAAATTAAGAATTGAAAATTTTTGAATAATGTCGATGTCTATATGATTATATTTAATAAAAAGATTCACATATATACGTATTATACAAATTTTATTTGTCGTTATCATATTTATGTAAAAAAAGCATTTTATTTTCAAAAAAAAAAAAAAAAAANAAAAAAAAAAAAAAAAAAATGAATGAAATCTACGAATACAAACTGAATATAAATATTCAGATTCTTAAATATCAAAAAATCTTAGTAAATAATAACTTTAATAAATAAAAAGAACCTCCCTATTTATCCCAATTCCAAATTCCAATTCCCAATCCCAAAATACAGTAATTTTAAAATTCTGGATTTTTAATAGCTACAAATTTAAAATTATCAGAACAAACCAATGAAAAATTATTTTTCTTATTTTTAATATAAAAATTATTTAAAAGATTCATTTGTTCAATATTTAAATAACAATCCTTAAAATAAAAAATTATCTTATTAAAATAAATATTATAAAAAAAATATTTTACCCATCTTTTAAGTGAAATAAATGAATAATCATTAAATTTAAAAGAAAAATATTTTAAACAAGGTAAATTAACTTCATTAAATTTATCTAAAATTTCATTATTTGAAGTACAAGAAAATTCAATTAAAAGGTGAGATAAATTTTTTAAATTATTAATATAATTTAAAAAGATTATAATATGATCATGAATCTTATCAAAAATACATAATGAAATTGTTAAATGAGATAAATTTGGACATATATTACAAAGTGGAGATTTTCCATTAATCCTAGGAATATAAATTTCTAAATATAATTCTTCCAAAGTATTTTTTGAAGATTTTAAAATAGATTCTTTAAGATTATAATCAATTTCAATAAATTTAGCCATAAAAGATTTAAGTTTTAAATTAGCCTTACTTAAAGGGAATAAAATAAATTCAATAGGATAAGTACCTTCAATTTCAAGATATTCTAAATTAATCAAATGATCAAATGAGAAATAAGAAAAATCAATAAAACTAATTTTGTTAAAAGTTAATCTTTTTAAACTAGTTGCTTGATATTTTAAAGCCATAATCATTCTTGAAATATTAATATAACCTTTTGATAAATCAAATGAAGTTAATTGATTTTGATTTTTAATGAAGTTAACCAATCTTGTTTCATATTCATCATGTAAATAAATTAAATTATAAAATTTGAATATCTCAATCTTGGTACATAATGTTGGTAAAACTTGCAAAAGATTTTTAATATTATTATAACATATTTCTGAAGTATTATTAACAAAAGAAAATTTCGTAATATTTCTAATACCAGAATATTCTTCATTGGTAAAAATTTCAACTTCCAATATATCCCCATATCTACGAGATAAATCCAATATCAAATGATCAATCCTATAAGAATTTTTTAATATTAATTTCATTAAAGATTTTTCAATAATATCAATTGTTGGATTTTGATTAAAATTAATACATTCATCAAAGAATGGATTTTTAGAAAGTCGATAATTTTTTAACCAATAAAATACCGCATGTCTAACTCCCCTTAAATTTAAAATTTTTAAATATTTTTCATAATTAAATAAAGGTTTAGGTAACTCATTAACATTTATTCCATGATTTTGTTCCAATTCCAATCTTATTTCTTCCTCAAAAGAATTAATGAATACACCCAAATTTATGGATGAATAAGTATTTGGCATAGGATTTTGCCAAAGAATTGTAACTATTTGTTTACACCAAAATCTATTCACTTGAAGACATGAATATAACGTGCGAAAATCCTCTTCTAAATAATGAAAAATTTCACATAAACTTTCTGTTGGTAAAGATGAAAGTTCCGTTCGTTCTTCAATCATATTTTTTTTTTTTTTTCTTTGGTTAATAAAAAGAGAGAAAATAATTTTTTGAGGCGTTTCGATTACCTTATTTATGCTAAATTGAATTGTGATGTTCATTAAAATTCCCTATAATATCTGAAAAATTGATTACATAACTTTATGGATTTGTAATTATTCAATTAGGTTATATTAGGCAAATCCATATGAATTAGCCCATAATGATTTAATATATGAAATTCTTATGTCGTAAGGTTCATAAGATGTCGTCAGATTAAATCATTTCGTCAAATCGATAATAAGTGTAAAAAAATTATAATTATTTAATTATAGTTTTTATCGATAAAGTAAAATAAATAGGAAACGGATCAAATTTTCCGGATCAAAAGTAAATCAAAAAATACTACCATATATGAAACGGATAATGTTTTCTGGAATCTGGACGATCTCCTTTTTAGGCATACACAATGGACATTAATAAAACATAATGAACCTCCCTTTAGCAAAAAGTGTTACGGTATTTTAACTTAAATTAGGAATTACAATTTAATAAAGTTTAGTTGCTATTAACTTTCGAATTCCGCTCATATTTATTATTTATTTGTTGCGTATTATTATGTGCAGTATTTATCTTTAGTTTTCGGTTTCAATTATGTGAATCTCAAAAATAAATGTAGTTATTTCTGAGAACAATTACTTAAGTGACATAATATAAATATTATAAAGTTATGGAACCGATAAAGGAATTTTAATTTTTAATAATAATTTAAATACAAAGTATAATAAATACAATATATATAAGTAAAAATTTTATAATATATAAATAACCGGTAATTGAAAACTCATATTTGGTTAGAAAACTTAATGATATAAGGATTTATCGTTACCAGTTCGGTCTGATTTTGAGTCAATTTCACGTTGAAAATCATTAAAAAGGCGCATTAAATTACAACGTCACGAGTAAGTAACTTATAAATGTGCCATATATGTTATTTTTAGTGTCTCCCATATATTCTTCCTACTTAAACACTTAATTCATTCGTAATTAATGGATGAATATGGAATGATAGTTTCAGATTCTGTAATCTGTTGCAGATTGTTGTTGTTAAGATTATGGTTAATAATAATTTCTACAATTTCTTCAATTCTATCTGTATTTATTAAATTAGGAATTTGACTAGCAACTCGAATCTGTCTATTAAATAAAGAACCTCTACTCCCTGGAATTGGAGATTGACGATTAGATCTCGTTGGAGTAAGTGGATAAGGAAATTCTTTACCACGTATAACAGAATATCGTTCAAATACTGACTGATCAGATTGACATGATTGCGATGCTTTTTCATCATAATCATCTTGATATTGATATTGATCATCATTTTGTTGAAAATTTTCATATAATTGCTCGTCGTCTTCTAAATAATGTTGTTGAGATTTTGTTAAATTATCATGGGATAGATAATTAGATTTTTCTATATTTTGCCAACCATCCCAATTCCAATCGCCCCAACTTGAATAATTTATTTCATGACATTTGAAACATGAAAGTTTATAACAAGTACGAATTTTTTTTCGTTCTTCTATCTCATTTGAAGTCATAATTTTATTATACTCAATAGTTGTTGAATTAGTTCCATTATCAGAAGGGTTAAGTGTTGAAGTTGAACTGAATATATTTGAATTGCTGATTATTGAATCATGAAATTCTTCTTTTATAAAATCATTACATTCAATATTTTCATTATCAACTGAATAAATTGAATAAACATTCTTAACATCATTATTTATCGGATCATTAATGAATTCCAATGGACCTGATATATTATATCGTTCATTTTTTTCTATTTTTTTATTCTTTCTATTTTCAAAATTAGTAAATCTAAAATTATCATAAATAAATAATAATTTCAAAGCTTCTTCAGATAATATATATAAACCTCTACTTTGTAACTCATCCCATTTAATTTCGACAGTTTCTGGATCATCAATCTTAGTTATATTAGGGAAAGAAGAAGGTTTAATATTTTCTTTACGTTTTAAGATAAATTTTTCGGGAAATGTTGGATAAAAAGAATTTCTGAATCTTCTGCTGATCTTTTTCTGAATTTTTTTAACATTTCTTTTTAACATGCTTGATCTTTGGATAGGATTAATATCAAATTGTTCCATTGATATAATAGCGTCATCTAAATTTTCCATAGTAATATCAGGTAAAATATGTTCCTTAAAAATAATTTCATTTCCATATTCATTAGTAACACTATTTCTTATACATTTCTCCCTACATTCAACATAATCTTTTAATAATATATTTAACCTATCAGGTAAATTAGTTGAATAAGATCTTTCCCTCATATAAGCCAAAAATAGATGAGTTAATGCATTTGAATATTTTAACCAATCTTGATAAGCTAAATGAAAATTTTCATAAGATTTTGAAAGTGATTCATTAAATAAGTGAAGTGACATTGATTTTAGAATTCGTCTTGGATGGACGTGATTTATATGAGAAACTTCCATAGTCATTGCGAAAAAATCAAATAATTCCACGAGAATTCCTTGATTTTTATATGGAAGATACGAAAGGAATTGATTAAATGAACCAATTTTTGGATCATATTGCCATTCTATAATATAATAGAAGAAAGTTTTAATATACGGGTATCATCACGTGACGTACGGTAAAAAAAAAAAAATAAAAAATAAAAAAAATTTCAAAATACCTATTTCGTGTTTAACGAAATCCTCATAATTTTCGTAGGAAATTATGATAGAAGTACAATTTCTTAATGCCATCCTTATACCAATAATAATATTATTTATGGATTGATATTTCAATTCTTCTTCAAACTCTACACGATTATCTCTTAATAGACAATTAATAAGGAAACGGACCTCATCATTTTCATTGTCAGTTTGAACAGGACCAGGGCCAAAGATATTGGGATCCGTTAATCCTAATTTCACAGTATATTCTCGGAATTAATTCTAATAAATTTCATCGTCACACGAAGATACGTTAATACGTTACCTCTTTTAACTAATTCATTAACGTATAAGTGAACTATAAGATAAGTTTCACCTATAGTTATAGATTGTTCAACATCTCTTTTTTGTTTTTTCTTTATACTTCTCTTCTCACTTAAAAAACTAAATAAACTGAATTTCTTTTTTAATGGTTTAAAATTTGAATTTGTTTTTATTGAAGATGAAATAATCGAGGCGGATTTTGATCGAGACATGGATAATAATTATATAAAAGTTTTGGAATATCTTTTTTTTTTTTTTTTTTTTNTTACAATCTATTCCCTCCTATTTATATAAAAGTTAAAAATTTCAAAAATAAATTGAAAAAAAAAAGTCGAATGTACTTATATTTATATAAGCTTATTATTTTTTTTTTTTGGAAATGAATATTACAAAGTTAGTAAAAAAATGGGGCGAGTGGGACGTTTACATGTGCCTAATTATCTTATTTGAGTAAAGTTTTGCCGATAGATTTTAGACTGAAAAAAATTTTAACCCGTGTAATCAAATCATTAGGTACCAATTATTTTGAGAAAATAATGAAAGTCGCGTTAGTATTATATTACATAATATAATTTCGTAATAATAATAATATTTTAATCATTCAATCAGAGATTAATTTCCGTAAATCCGTAACTTTTTATACGTATTAAAATTAATATTACATTTAAATTTTCACGACAATTGTCAAGCTTAAATTAAATTAAATTGTATTAATTGTAAAATATATGAAATTATAATGATATACAAGAAAATCTCAAGTTTTTTACATTATTATTTATAAAGTATAACGATAAACAAACAAACAATTTTAACTGATTTACTCAAAAAAGGAAGATTTTGATTAGTCGTGATTATTATTGATGTTCAGAATTTGGAATCGCTATAAGGATTATAATATAGAGACATATACTGATATACATAATGAATAATATAATATGATGTTTTACGAAACATTTATATGTTTTTATGTTTTAATTAATTTATTTTTCTATAGAAATACGTGGAAAATGTTTTAAAGGTTTTCCAGGTGAGAAAAAAGAAAAAAAATTTCTTTGAGAAAATTGTATATCATTGGTGCATTCATCGGTACATCTTTTTTTAAATATTTTCCATACTTTTTCTAGCATAGAATTTAAAAAGATGGTCCGAATTTCCTTACTTTATTAGTGGATCCGAAATGCCGAAATTAATTTTAATGGCTATCCGAATTTATTTGCTATATTAAGTTAAATACTTGTAATCGATTCTTTTTATTATAAAACCTTCTAGAATGAGTTTCAAAACAAAAATCAATGTGTAATATAAAATAATGTATTTGAAGCAAAGAAATTTCCCAAGAATCAAGAATTTAAGATAGGTTAAATTTATAAAGTATAAAGTATATTGTTCAAAATATATTTATTTATTAGTGTCTTTAAATATTGAACAAAATTACAATACAATTACAAACAAATTATTCATTTATTCATTATTCAAAGATTTTATCAAACAAGGAAGTCAAAAAGGAAAAGAAAAATGGCGTAATTGTTGCATTAGAAAAGGAGAAATTTAAATGTTTCAAACCAATAATGATTTAAAAGGAAATGATATAATAATAATTGTTTTAACACTTTTTAATCATGCGTGCATGCGTGGCATTATAAAGCTAAAATTCCTTATTTCCAATAAAATTCTTCCATTTACATAAAATTTTCATGATGCTTAAAAAATATATTATTTTCTTATTAATAATAATTTGATACTTATATAAATGATAATCAAAACCTGTTAGATCTATAGTACTTAAAATTTTAATATTCATAATTTGTTATGTATAAATTAACATCATGTAAAGTCATATAAACTGACATTTCACATCGAATACTTTGTCCGTTCTAATGAATTAAATCATTTATAATGCTGCAACTATCTTAATAATACAAATCGAACGATTATTAATTATAAAAGATGAGAATTAGTAATGTAAATAATTTTCATTACCAATTGTAATATAAATAGAATATGTAGGCAATATAGAAAATTTATATCAGATCATTAAGAATTCCTAAACTTCTTTTCATATTCCAATTAATAAGTGCAGTAATCTAATTGTCCAGTCGATTGGGAATGTACTGTACGACCGATAATTAAGTTTTAGTAGGATATCGACCGATTTTTCTATTCCCGCTCGCATTACTCTTATTCTATATAAGAATAATATAAATGTTAAAAAGCTAAGGGACTTATATTAATACAAGTTAACTTGTAATAATAAATAGTTATTGGATGAGCTATTGGTCGATTAACTGTCAGATTAGTAGTATTAATTCCTATTGGTCACCGCAGTATTCCTAATGAATATGCCCATTAATATCCTGCATATTCCTATTCGAGTCAACCCAACTCCTTACAAATCTTTGTTATATTAGACGTCCGTACAATATACAGTTAGACACAGTGAAATTATTCATATGAATCTCGCGTCTCAACAAAATTTGTCGCAGTATATCTAATAAATTTTCCGGCGCAGTATCATACTGGTGATAAAAAGACTAAGAACAAATTTCTTAAATACGAGGCGGAGCTGACTATTATGAAAATTAAGTATAGAGGTAAGTGTGAATCAGGTGAAAGTCACTTATTTATTACCTTAATTGCTAATCTCCCGAATTTATTATACATAGGTTCGAAATTTCTAGTGTTATAGTTAACGGGAGGTGGTGTTGAATGATTAGCTAACATTGTGCCACTGCATAAATACGAGACCAAAAGAAATAATGTGATGCATTAAATGGCCTAGGATCCGCTTTCATAATTAATAGTTTTCAACCCACACCGGGCTTTATTTCTTACGTGGTGATGTTAATCGAAAAAAATAAAAAATGGAAATGTCATTTCACTTGTATCACAGTCGAATCATATAATTTATTTACTGCATCAATAAGCCGAAAAGGTTTTCGTGGGGCAAACTGCAACTTGACCACCCTATTGTAAAATATATTATGCGGATCAAGTCAGAGTGTCAGACCCGTCGCACAGGTCAAGAACGATAAATTTGCTTTCATCAGATGCTTTTCATCGTTACGCGTAATACGGCCCCTCTTCCACCAGAGAAATGTCGCCAACAGGTGGCTTTATATCACGTCCTATTTTACGAAATTATATTTAATTTCCTGTAGCTCCTACTGATAATGTGTTTCTCTGATAACTAAGTAAATAAAAAAATAAAATGGTGCATAGAGACAAATACTTTGAACGTAAGTCTATATTATAGATTTTCTAAATGAATGCGGTATAGAAACATTTGAAGCCGTTACCTCAAATCATTAAGAGCCATTGTTAATGTGAGGAAGGGAGGTGCAAATAAAAACAAAGGTGTCTCCTTGATAGATAGTTTTATATGTGAAAAATAGTAGCGTGACAGGGGACTTCTTCATTCAAGGCTCTTCACTGACCAGTTGGGTGGACATGTGGAAATTGGCGCGTTCCAGAATACTTCACTTATAGAAATATTTATTTGAAAGACTTAGGCAATATCCCATATTCTCAAAATTCCTATTGCATTAACAGTAACTTTATAAAAAAGACACTATGGGGTTTTCACAGATTACTTTTGTAAGATCGTTAGCAACTTCATTAAGAGATTTTGAAGTCTGATCAACATTTCGGGTCAATCTGAAAAGGCAAATTGTAGTCTACACGAGGTCAGCATTAAGTTGTACTTTAAATCCACCTGTTTATATAATAACGGCTTGTTATTTTGGATACTTCAATATAGTGTCAAAGTTTGTATGATATAGGTAAGTGTATACGTCTAAAAAATGTTTCCAGACGACGTGATCGCTAGATAACACACAACGAATTATTATTAAGCAAGTAAACGGAGGAATGAAAAAATACAGGGAGGAAGGTTCATATTATTAATTTCCAAATTAGTTTTACCTAAAAGGGCTGTAGCAGCCATTGGAAACTTCAAACACCCTTAAAGGCACAATGCTCCTTCTATAGTATCCTTATCCCTTTCCCTTTTTGCGAGATCCTGATCAATGTTGCTGCATCCCAACCTTGGTGATCAGGTGGCAATAAGTTTTTAAAAGACTTTGCTGATATCTTTTTCCATGATAAAAAATGTGTGTTTACATGCACGCCTTCCTTGTAAAATAAAGGGTACCATCTCTTGGAATCTTTACAAGACTCATAATATGTAAACAAAATAAAAAGTAATGGAATTAAATCGTTTTTGATTAAATTTGCTTCAAATTATTATAATTCACAAAAATCATGAATAGATTCTGACTATTTGAATATTAATAAGAAACAATGTCTAGTAAGTTTATTACAAAATCATAAAAACAATTTTTACTTAAAAAGTAGCTGAATATTATAATTCTAGCATCTAACTTGTTATTCTATAATGCTATAGTTCAGCAATTATGATCTATTATTGCTCTATCTGCTAAATCAACTAATGACAATCTGCATTAATAATTAATTTTGTATTGTTACCAACTAATTAAGAAATAACTTGAAAAGAACTTTGATTCGCTTTACCAATTTAAAAAAATAATTCATAATTTTGTAATACCCCGCCAGAATTTCAGCCATAAAATAACAACCGACAACTCCATAATTTATAAGGATTTACTAATAACAGTTTATTAAAATTATATGTATAAATAATGTATTTCCTAAAAAGTGTCATAAAAAAACTTAATCAAAGTTTAAATTGATAAATATTAAAAAAATTATATTATCCAACGTATAACTTTAGTTTTTAACTAAATAAGATAATAGATCAACTTTAGTAACAACATGTTTTGGAACAAGCGCGCCATCATTAGTATATTCAGTAACAACAGCCGAACTATGCTTCTCAAAGAACCTAGTTAATTTTTCCAAGGGTGTATCTGGTGCAATCTCTTCGAAATTCTTTGCTCTAACAAATTTAAACATTACATCTTTAACAGGAGAATCAGGAGTCGCTCTTCCTTTAGATATCCTAGACAACAAATTACCAAGAGTAACTAATCCAACTAATTTTTTATTAGGTGAAGAAGTAACTGGTAATTGATCAAATCCATTTTTTTCAAGAATTTCAATGGCTTCTCTACAAAATGCTCTTGAATCAATAGTGACAGCTACTTTTAAATTAAGGTCTTTAATAGTAGCTCCTTTCCATTGTTGAATTTTTATTTCTTCCTCTTTCTTAGTAGCATCATCAATAAATCCGTGTTCTTTCATCCAATCATCATTCAAGAATTTTGTCATATAATTTCGAACGGAATCTGCAAACAACACAACAATTCTTTGTCCTTTTTTGAGAGATTTTGCAACTTGAATTGCTGCCCACATTGCTGAACCAGATGATCCACCACAAAGAATTCCTTCTTCACGGATTAAACGACGTGCATAAATGAAAGAATTTTTGTCATTTGATTTTATCCATTCGTCAACTAAAGAGCAATCAAGTGCTTCTGGAATGAAATCATATCCAATTCCTTCAACCTATAAAATAACAAATTAATATCATTGATTTTAAAAAAGATATTTAAAACTTTACAAAAAGAATATTTTTTTTTTTTTTTTTACGTACGAGATATGAACAAACTGATGAATGGCCATTTGCGAGAAGTGACCCTTCGGGATCTACGCCTATAATTTTAACATTAGGACATCTCTCTTTCAATTTTCTAGCCACTCCTGTAATTGTTCCTCCAGTTCCTGCTCCTGCTACAAATACATCAACTTTTCCATCACAAGAACTTAATATTTCTTCAGCTGTATGATCATAATGAGCTATAGGATTATATGGATTAGAATATTGATCCAAAATCACAGAATTAGGAATCTCTTTATTAAGCCTTTTAGCAACTCCAATATGTGATTCAGGTGAATCATATGATGCTTCAGTTGGTGTACGAACAATTTCTGCTCCAAGAGCTTTAAGCACATCAACCTATATTAAAAAAATAACAAAATGGTTAAATATTTATTTTATTTACATTATATATTCTCAATGAAGGGACTTTTTTCACCTTTTCCTGGCTCATTTTTTCTGGAAGAGTAATAATTGTTCGATATCCTTTGATAGCAGCCGCTAATGCAAGACCAATTCCGGTATTTCCAGAAGTTGGCTCAATAATTGTATATCCTGGTTTAAGTATTCCTGCTTTCTCAGCTTCATCAATCATACGTTTACCAATACGATCCTTTACAGATCCACCAGCATTGAAATATTCGCATTTTGCCACTATTTAAATTTGACAAAAACAAGTTAGTATATTAATTTATAAACTAAAATATCAAAAATACGAATAAAGTTTTGATATTTTACATATTTCACATTCGATTCCTTCTGATTTCGTGATATTATTAATTCTCACAAGCGGAGTATTTCCGATATGATCAAGGATAGTGTCGAGAATCGGAGGTTCTGGTAAGCTTTTATAAAAGAAAATAATGTAAATATCATAAAATTTAAATAAAATAAAAAAATAAAATAAAAAATTTAGTATTTACTGCTTTTCATGATTATGAGACGATGATCCTTTAGTATTAAGTGACCAAGTACAATTATTTTCTTTGTCATTAGACTCCATTTTTTTTTCCTATAAAATTTTATTAATCAACAATTATAGAAAGAAATATTTCTGGTAAAACTTCTATTATTAACATTTTATGGTCAATTAAATAAAAAAAAAGGGACGAAACTTAAAATATTTTGGTCCCCACTAAAAAATCGGCTGATACGTTTTGTACTCCTGTCGATTAAAATATAATATATAAATCTGTGTGGCCCGAATTTCCGAACCTTAAATGAAAACAAACAGACCGATTGAATTTCCCAGATAATATGTCATAATTATGAAAAATAATATTAATAATCTTTTATGATGATGATCTGGGTCATTTGATCATTTAAACAATTATCGTAAGTCAGAAATGCTGGATCATCTGGTTTTATGCAGCAACAAATAAAAAATCTTGACAAATTATTTTACCGAAATTGCTAAACCAAAATAAGTATTTGAACCGAGCGATTTGGGCTGACAGAATTATTTATAGGAAATGAGTTGCAGATTTTTGGTGATTGACAAAAAAAATATTTAATGGTGAATCGATAGAACTTAAATAAGAAGTCAATTAATATATTCACTCATCATCCAACAAAACCAAAGAAAATTAAAAAGATTTTTATGGAGTATATATAAATATAATCTTATAATTTTGAATTTTGGCCGTGGTCGATCTTCCTGCTACATTTCATACATTACATAAATAAACACATGTTTTTGTAATCTTTGTGCATGCACAGTATCTTTTTATGTGTTTAAATATGTATATTATATTAAGAATTGTAGTCGGATTAGGACTCTTCAAAGAATCTTTCCAAAGGTGTAACGTTCTAAAATTCTTTGCTCTGACACATTACTTCTAATTAAATATGATAATGATAACTAATTATGGTTTGATTTATATATTATGCTAATAAATTATAGATATAGGTGGGTCTGTATCTTTAATAAATTAATCGTACCTTACACGGTTATATATGATTAACATAGACCTGTTTGACTAACAAATTGTTTCTTTCTCGAATTGGCAGATTTGCATCTTCGCCATACAAGAGCATTCTGACGATGCTCAGTCGAATCGCGAGAAATGCTTTAGTCGTTAAGTAATCTTTTATGACGATCCAAAGTATAATAATCAGTATAATAACACCGTAACAAATCTTCACAGTTCTATAAATACTTTTTATAAAATACTTAATATGGTTATAGTGCAATCTTCTTTTGTAAATATTTAAGGTTTTAGATGTACAATCACCCGGAAAGTAAAGTTATATAAAAAACATATAAAATTATAGAAATTTCAAGCTACATTTATATTAGTATTTAAATTTTATACCATCTTGAGCTAAATAAGTTTTTTTTTAAAAAAAGATAAATTTTTAACTTCAAGAAATTTGAAATGTAAGAACACGATTAGAATGTATTTTTTGTATTTAATTTACTATGATTTCAATTTTTGACACCGTTTAATGATTAAGATTTTGTCGGATTATGATGATAATTTGGGCCAGTCGGATTTGAGTTTCGGAGTTCACATTGTTGGTGGTACGGAACATAAAGTATAAATGTTTTACGTTCTGTGCCTTATATAAGATAAATGGTCTGACCACTCACTTGTTCAATTTCCGTGATTTCACATGCATGTTTTAAAAATAGCGCGTGCCTTTTTTCTCATATTATCCGAAGTTTAACGAAACAAGTACACATGCTTTTAAATTTGGGATTTATATAGTAAATGAATGTATATAAATTACAAATATATTATGATCTTGAGAGTCTATATAATAAACACTTATTGTATAGGTCTTTATGCATTGCTTGTTTTAATGTGCCACTTACGCCTGTCAAATGGCCTTAATCGAAAACAGCAAGTTATTAGTAATACTGTATATAATAAGATATCAAAGAACTGAATGAATACGTGTAACATTACTGTATATATATATTACTGTATATACAATTAAACACTATTTCTCCTTATGATATTATCAACAATTAACCAAAATTATCATATAATAATTTTACTATTTGATAGTATATAAGAGAATTGGAAGTTTGTTTAAAAGTTGATTATATAGTATTATGAAAAGTTGAATAAAATTTAAACTCAGGAAAACTTTAAAGCAAAGAATTTTTCAATTAATACATTTAAATTGTTGCTGAATTACAGTGTTTTTTGGTTTAATTATAAGATCAAAAATTGGAGCTAATTTAAAAATTTTTGTGAGGAAGCATCGGAATAAATGCAAAAACTCACAAGATAGTGAAGCAAACCAAATAATATTCAACAGTCTTCATAATCTTAAGTGGAATCTTGAAGATTGGTGGTAAAGATTTAAATGGCAACATCCGTCCCGAAAGGCGAAAGCATTAAAAAAGCAACATATAAGCCTTAAAGTCGGTGTATTTCTAAAATCTTATGTAAAATAGTGTTATTAATCAATCTCTTAGTGCAAATCCCATAGGATGCATAATGCCATTGCTAGAATGTTAGATAATAAATTAGTTAGTGTGTAAGAATCACTTTTTAGTTAAAGGAATAGTATATTTTTAATTGTTTATATTTATCAACGATTCATGGATTCACTTATAAGATGACTAGAATTAGTGTATATAATTGATAAGTAAATATTTGATTCAACTTATTATAAAATTTGAAATAAAGTAAATATCAGATTCAATTTATTATAAGAATTACATTATTAAATGATGTCTAAATGTTCATATATATATATTTCATAATCTATAATTACAGACTAAAATACCCATTAATTCATGATAAAAAAATCTTCAATATCAATCCCAACATTTAATAAACCATCCTGATATGCAGTATCATAAATTTCCTTAAAATATTGTGGCATAATACAAATATCACTATAGAATAATGATTTATTCAAGATATCTTTTATATTATCATAATCATATTGTGATGAAATTATATCAGTTTGATCTTTTAATAATAATTGATTTTCATTCTCATTAAAATTTAATAAAATGTTGTTGTTATTATTATTAGTATTAGATTCGTTGAAATTTAAAGAACCTTTAACATTTACCGTTTCATTTAATGAAGGAAATAATAAAGAACCATTCTTTTCTGGTGCGTGAGTTTTAATTAAATTTTGCACAACGAATTGTAATTCATTGGCACGTTGAATAATATTTGAAATTTGTTCTTTTTTTTCCGTCGGTGAATTAAAAGAGGTCGAAGTTTCCGTTTCCATATTAAATTTTTCATTAATTGATGTTTCTGAAATTGTTGGTGATGTGTCAAAAGAATCTAATAATGGTGATAAATCTTCTGAATACATTTTCTATTGTGGCTCCGATAGAATAAATGTGATTATAGATGACAAAGAATAAGTCAAAATATGATTATTAATTATCAGTATTTTTTTTTTAATAAAAAAAATAAAAATCATAAAAGAATTTTTTTTTTTTTTTTAAAAAAAAAAGGAAAGAAAAGAAATTCAAGTTAAAAAAAAAATGATCGTATCGTTTGAATGGAAAAAAGATGAAGAATCGAATCAAATCATCGAATATATTGATTATATTAATTATATTGATTGGCTGATTTTAAAATCGTTTTTTTAAAGTGCGGAAATTAAAAAGTTACTTTACTGCGTATTTTAATCCAATCTCGTGACCATAAAAGTACTTTTGAAAAAACAAATGCAAGAATTCGTCCAAAATATTGTTTGTAAAATGAAAAATGAAAAATAAAAAAAAAACCAAGTATTAACAAGAGAGGCAGAGAACAATATAAAAGTATTTATTTTCTAGGCGCAGTTCTGAATTATCGGAAGTACGAACAATACATATAATCTCAAAAATGTTTCAAATGCTTCATGTTCCTTTGTTTCAATTTTCTATTTACGGACTTTAATAAAAATTTAATTCATTGTGAACAAAACTGGCTTCATTGACAAGAATTTATTTTACAAAAAGAAAAAGGTTTGTTAAAAAAGAATTTCAAATAAACTTTATAAATAGTCCTAATATTGTTCAAATTTTGAATGTCCTTCTCAAAAGGATAAATTATTACCATTTATACTAATACAATATCTTTTATGGAAATAATTAAAACGATTAAAGTCATATGAACCTATGGATAGTAATGATTGTCTTAATCAACCAATAAAATAAAAGCCTTCGCTACCAACTCATCCTCAACCAATAAGACAATTTTAAAAAGTCGTACTAATACGTCGACTCACTATTAAAGATCTTTTATAATTTAATTTATTCTATTTAAAAGTATAGTCGGTCAAAGACACTCACAGGATTAAAGACATAAATCTAACAATCAATTATAAACACAAAGAAGAAACCCGTTACAAATTGATGAGATGCGGGATAAATTTAACAATGTTACGGTTAATTAATAAAGGAGGCCCAAAGAACCGGTCCTTATAAAAAAAATGAGACGTTTCGTTAAAAAAAAAAGACAAAGATCTGATGAACCGGCCGATGAACCGGCCACCTAAAAAGAAAAATAAAGAAACGCTAATATCCTTTTTAAAAAAGAGTAGCTGATTCCCACATCCAAAGATCTGATGAACCGACGGCTTAAAAAAAATAACGTTAATATCCGTTTCGTTAAAAAAAGAGAGAGATTGTTTTTTAAAAAAATGGCCGTTTCCCACCTTCAAAGATTCGATGAGCCGGCCGCCTAAAAAAAAAAGAAAAATAACGAAACGTTTCCTTAAAAAAATGGTCGATTCCCACCTTCAAAGATCCGATGAACCGGCCGCCTAAATTTTTTTTTTTAAAAAAAAAGTAGCCGATTCTCGCATCCAAAGATCCAATGAATCGACTACCTAAAAAAAAAGAGAAAAGTAACGAAAATCTACCTCTCTTTCTAAACCATCGATATCCTTAAGCGATATGTGCCCGCATTACCGTTTATATTTAGACGAATGATGAAAAAGAATCACATGATATGTCATGCTCAAACGTAATTTCCATATATTCCCCTTAAAACTATGAGAGCCCATATTAGGCCTTTTTGATATTATCATCTTACCCATTGTTGAACTCAAATGAAATTGAATCATATGATTGCGGGACAATAAGAGATTTGATGTCGTTATTAACAAGATTTTTTTATCACAAAAAGAATATTTACAATTTTTTAAGCCACTTTTAAAGCCAACTAGTTTCTCAAGGAGGCTTAGCGGGAACGAACATTTGCGTGAACATCAAATTTTACATGCGCACTAAAAATGTTAAAATTCTTTCCGCTATAAAAGAATAATTTTAGGAAAAACCCCCAATAAATTTGATAATTTCATACAAAGTTCGGGAAAAATTCAGACTTCATATATGTACCTAAAAATATACTACTCCCTATGAATGCATACATAAAAAGTAAATTGATGAAAAATACATATAAGGAAATTATAACGCAATCAACATTTAAATGTATGGCATATAAAGTTCTATTTGATTTAAGTTCCGATAATTCCGATAGTAAAAATTAAAAGAGAAGTAGCCGTTCATTCGTGGCTTTGTTAACAAAGCCATCGAATGGCTGTGTGATTTTCTCCTGCGCCACGTTTTGATATCAATATAATTTTAGAAATTATTTTTAAAAATAGAAATTACAAACTGAAAGAATGGTTTACTATTAAATTACTTTTAATGGGAAATTCATTGTCAAAAAATGATTTTATTATTTATTCAAACTTGCCTGAAATAGTAAATTCATATTGAGTTACAACATAATTATGTGATATGGCTAATAAATTGTAGATCCTTAGGCTGATTATCAGAAAATTAAGTTACATTGTTATGCAATTAATTTTTTTAAAAAAAGGTTTAATTTCGTGTAAAAAAAAAAATCAAAAATTTAATTTTTTTTTTATTAAAATATTGACATCTATATAAAACTTTCTATGAATATATCAATATATCTTGTTTATGTAAATTCATGTAATCTATGTAATTTATATAATTTAATATAATTAAAAAAAAAAATTTTTTAACAGGAAATATATAAATTTCCCTAAATTTGAAGAAAAAAAAAGTCATCCGATTTCTAATTTTTTCGGTTGTAAAAGAATTGGAATTTGGTGTAGTTTTATACTTCGACAAAATATTATGGGAAGAGAGAAAAAAGGAAATTGCTTGGATGAATATTTAATTTTGTAATTTACCGAATATTAAGATAAATAATTTGGGCAAATTTGGTAAATTACATCTTGGCGTGTCGATCTATCCACTATCAAATTACCTTAAAAAAAATTCCAGGATAAATTTAGAAAAATTCATAAAAAAATACCATTCTTCAAAATATGTTTTAATAATCGTGTCATTATTTCTTTGAATTATATATATATATATATATATCTTGTATCAATAGCCACTTGTAAACTTACCATAATATTTTTACAATTGTGACATTACACAGCCACTAGAAATAATAAAAGGGATCCCTATTTCTTTTATTCAGTTTTTGATTTTTTTTCTTTAATTTACGTGCTTCTTTTTTTTTCTCTTCTTTCTTAAACGAGACTTTATGACTATTTTTTTTTTTTTTTTTACTTCTTTTGAGAGTTATGTCAGTTTCTAATTATTGTTATAACCAAGTCCGTAGTAGCAGCCATATTGCTGAACTTTCTCCGGTAAGTGTCAAACAGAATTTTGATTATTTTTTTTTTATTTTTCGGAATGAGAATTGAAGGCTATACTCACGTGATATAACGTGATAAAATCGAAGTTGACACAATTTTTAATCCTTTCTTTTTAATCGCAGCTATGTATAAGACATTTTAAAGAGAATTCTCATAACATTTTTGAGAAAAGGTTACAATCTCCATGGACGAAACGGACCACATTTCAAAAGAGATCAGCATTTCAAGAAGAATTAAATCTTTATGGAATTGTGCAATTTAAAAAAGAGAATTTTGCAGAAAAAAGGGATACAGATGATACAACAAAAAAAGAGGAGGAAAAGAGAAAGAAACCCAACTTTCAAGAATTATTCAAAGATCCACCACAAGTAAAAATAATGGCTGACGGATGGCCGGATAAAAATATTTATGATCCTGCCAGAGATAAAATGTTTTGGTGGCGTAATGACCCAGTATTAAATCAACATCATGAACATTGGCACATAGTTATGCCTTCCGGAGAACACAATGGGACTTCAAAAGATAGAGAAGGAGAGAATTTTATTTATATGCACAGACACATGTTGGCCAGGTAATTTTCTAAATAAAAAACTTTTCTTTAAAATTGTGAAACTAAATTCAACCTTTGTTAGATATGACGCGAATCGTTGGTGTCTTGGAATGCCGCTCGTCGATCCATTGATTGATTACGTTCATCCGATACCTGAAGCTTTTTATCCTCCTCCATTCTTATCACAGTCTATTGATGGACGACCGGATGGTGTACGGGTTCCTTTCCCTGCTCGTCCTCCTAATCAGGTCTTTCGCGATATTGGTAAATTCTTTTTAAATTCTAGTAAATTTATTGGGGTTTTTTTTTAAAAAAAAATTATTTGATATTATAGTTACAATGGGTGATGATAACACCGAAACTGTATTCGCCGTTAAAGATTTAACAAATATACTGGACGAAATTGAAATATGGATTGACGGTAAAACAGATGAGGTGCATCCATCTAAATTAAACTTAACTGACGATGAAGCAACAAGCTTGGGCGGTGATATCGAAGTCGTCTTACATAATATTGGTCACAACATGCTTGGTTATATTATGCATCCTTATACATTACATGGTAAGTCCTTTTCATAAAAAAAAATCTTTCAAAAAAAAAAAACTAAATATTTTATTTTTAAAATGATTAATCTAATAGCCGTACCAAGTGTTCTTGTCGGCGCTCGTGCCGGAACGCGTGATCCATTATTTTGGAGATGGCATCGTCATATTGACAACATTTATGCCAAGTGGCAGAATTTATTAGGACCTCGTGATTTTAGTGATGATATGCCACCAGTAACCATCAGAGAAAAAGATATAATTCTTTCATTTACCGATATATTACTTGAAGTTGATAAGAGTGGAGTGAATGATACGTGGGTTAAATACGCGAACGAGAAATTTGGTGGTAAATATTTTGATAAAGATCTTTCAAATCATCCCATGGTCACGAAAACATTACAAACTAAAATGAAGATCCGAGATTACGTCTGGTTGGAAGATGGTCAAGATCATGAAAAAATTCAATATTTATATCCAAGGGATTGGATATGGTTTGTTCGTGCTCAGAATGTTTCACCAAAAGTAAGTTATAAATAAGATGAATTTATATGTTTTATTTCATTCTTTTTTGATCGATTAATTAATTAATTTACCTTATGTAGCCTGTGACATTAACGTTCCGTATTTGGATTGCGCCAATTGATTTGATAGATAAACATGCTTATTGGATTGAAATTGATAAATTCAAAAGAACTTTAGGACCTTATGAAAAAACTGTCGTTTCTCAAAGATGTGATCATGCGGTGGTAATTCGTAAGCCAGCACAAAAAACGACAAAACAAATGGATGATACAGCAATCACACCATGGCAAAAAGAAAAATTAGATCAATTTAATTTTGCTCAAGTCGCGGAAAAATTATTCTGTGATTGTGGATGGCCTTATAATTTAATTATACCACGTGGAAGTAAAAAAGGATCAACATTTAAACTTTTCGTTTATGTTTCCGATGGTACGAATGATTTAGTAAGAACAGATACACAATGTGGTAGAACACTATTATGAGGAGGTGAAAAATGGACGGATAAAGTTCCTGATATCAAACCTTTTGGTTATCCTTTTGATAGACCTTTTAAAGATGGTTCTTTTTATAAAACTTTCCAAGGCATGAAAAATGTTGCTCATACTGATATTACAATTAAATGGGTTGAGGATTTCCCTGAAGTATAAATATATTTTTATCATATTTTTTATATTTAATGTATTATAATTTTTGAAACAAAAAGAAACAAAAGTTTATATCCATTTCTTGATTTGTATATAGTATATACGTAAATTATTATTGGTGCTTCAAAGAATTTTTTCAAATTCCTTTCTTTTTTTTTTGTGTGGGGAGAACTATTCAAAAATCATAATTGTATAATAAATTTAAAAAGAGAGAATAAGAATTGTTCAATATGCGTTGTATTTTGAACGTAAAAATCATAAAAAAAAATAAACTATTCACAAAGCACAAAAGTCACAAGTTCTACTACAATTATATTGGCATTGTCATTGAAATATTGAAACTATAGAAACAAATAAATTTAATAAATTTTAAAAACAAGACAATAAAATTTAGATGAATTAAAATTATTTCCTTATAAAGAACAAACGTAATTACGAAAAAAATATACGCAAAATTGTTTGTCAGATCTACGATTCATCGAAAAGTATCACAAAATCGCAAAAAAACCCGAAAATAAAATCCGGGAAAACTTCGATGGAATCATTCTTTGCGTAACCAAATCTATCTAGAGGCTTTATCTGAAACTCAATTAATAATTTAATCGCGTACAATATTTGAATTCTTTGCAGTCAATTTGATAGACACCAAATTTTTTTTTTCCATGTATCCAAAGTACATTATATTCTGATACCATTGATCCCAGGACTTCACAGCCTTTATCAATACTTGTCAAAATCGGGATGAAAAAAATTCATCATGGGTTATTTTCTATTTTCTAATCGTGATAAAAATATATAGATGCTGATTTATACCTACGCTCGCACCTAAGCTTGTTAAAAATGAGAATACAAACCAAAAGTATGCAACCGCAAACGCCTATTGGATGATATTTTTATCTGGATGAATTACACGTTAGGGAGAAAATCTCAGTCATCACTTCAATGATATAAGCAAGTTATTTCTATTTTCTAATTGATAAAAGCTTCTAATTCTTTTTGTTCGATAGTCTATGCCTTTGTTATATGATTATAACAGCGAATGTGAAACAAGACAAGAAGGTTGTTTGGACGCAACAAAGTAAGCTTCTTCATGGAAGATAACTGAGCATGATTAGATCAAGATTTTAAGAAAAGTTGTGTACTTGGGGTCAACACAAAAGATCATTCTTGGATATGTTCGAGGTTTTGGGTGTATTCTCTTTGAATTCTAAGTTTACCAAGCAAGAGCATCATCTGATGATCTAGTATAATTTACCTCACTCTTTTCCCAAGTACACTGTTTCTCAAAATTACCTAAAGAGTATATAATATAATACAGCAAAAAAGGATGAGGCCCATCCTTGTGATGTGTCAAATCGTCAATTAGATATTTGAAGAACTAAAGATGTGATTAAAAAACTTTGAACTTTCATGTGATAATATTTTTTCAGAATTAATATTCTACAATTCTTTTTATTTTGGCATTAGTGAATTAAATATTTTATTCTTCTTGTATTTTAGTATTATTACTAACTAACAGAAAATTTTTAAATTACAATTTTATATTACATTATCAGTAAAGAAAAAAAAAAGTTGTTTGTCTATATGTATATATATATAATATTATAATTATAATTATTGTCCGGCACCCTTCCCCAAACTAGTTGGTACATCATTTTGACTATAATCAATTTCGGTCACAAAATCTCCAATAGCAACTCCAATAGTGGCGGCAATATTAGTTTTCAAATTTCCTGCCAAAGAATCAAATAGACTCTTAATAGCAGCTCCACTAATCTTTAGATTTAAATCAAAATCTTTAGTCGTAACGGTTTTTCCAGATGGAATAATGACAGGATCCGCACTTAAGTCTTGATCAATATTGCCAATTTCATCATCTTTTACTTGTATGTTTGATTTAATATTTAAGAATTTGATAGTAGTATCGAATGGATTAAATGCATCAATTGAAGCAGTTCCTTTTGAATCAAATATTGTATTTAATCCAATGGCAAATCTTGCTTGTTCTATTATAGGTTTCGGAGATTTCAGTCCAGGCATTGTAGTCGTTAATTCCAAAGCAGCCAATGCCTTTTGTAACGGAGCAATAGGAGTTGATTGAGCGGATCCTTTAATTCCAACCGTATTCGATTTTCCAATGATGAAATTATCAAGTAATTCACGACCGGCTTTATTAGCTTCATCACCTTTTGGTCCAAATTGTGCAATAACATTTACATTGTTTTCACCACGATCCAATACGAAATTTTCCATTATTACTTTACCCATGGGTTGATCTTGAAATAATAAATCGAATATTACATCACCCATTGAAATCTTAACATTTGATGGGTTAAATAATGTAACTGATAATTTGATTAACATATTTTCCGCGGTTCCCCCTGTAACAACAAGAGAATTGACAACAGCAGGTTTCGTCTTTAATCCTTGAATACCTGGCAATGTGGTTTGCACTTCAAATTCGATCCCTTGAATTTCCACCTCACCAACAGGAGTTTTCGCGATAGAATTTGCAACACCTTTCATTTTAAGTGAAACACTCTTTTCTAATGTCAATCTTTTACTGAAATCATCAAATAATTCTTCAGATCCTTTAGCGACTTTGAAAGGTGTAGGGGCAAAACTAGTCTCAATTTTCCCAGATTTTGAATCTCCTGTTGCGGCAGTGAATGGTGAACCTAAACTTGCTAATTCCTTATCGCCGTCAAACATTGTGATTTGTTGAGAAATTTGTTTCATTTCCAACGGGAATCCAAATGGAATGCTGAACCCTGCTGTGAGCGAAGAAGAACTTGCCATAGGAATATATGGATTCTCATTGTTGAATTGTAAATCCAGTGCATTAATATCAACGCTACTAATAATTTTTAAATCTTTTCCACCTTGTAATACAACTGATAATTTAGTCCCTACAAAAGCAGATTGGAGCCAACTTATTGGTGCACTCTCGTTATTTGGTCTAACTGATTTTGCTATCACACTAGTTGTCGCATTTTGTCCAGTAATAAATTTAGAGAACAAGTCTCCAACCGCTGCTAATGCTTCAGTGCTATTTTGAGGAATTAAACGACCTTTAAGGTCAAGCTTATTATCACCAGATACCAATGTAACTCCTGTTGCACCAACTTCACCTACAATATGACCAAGGTATTCAACATCGAAAACTAAATCTCCCAATTCAACATTAATTGGTGAAGGATTTCCCAATGTTGAATTGATCTCAATTTCAATTCCACCATCAGGGTGTTCTGCTGGAGCATTAAAACTATCTATTTTTACTGATGGGAAATTTTGCATGCCTATAAGATCATAAATTAAATAAAATGTTTTATTAATGGGAGACTTTATAAATAAAAAAAAAATCAATGACTTTTTTAAGTATTAAAATTTCTTAATAATATTACCTCCCATCGTAACGTCTTTTGATAATACAATTCCTTGAAGATTGAGTCCTGCAGCTTCGACTGAAGCTATTCCTTCCAGATGCCACGTAAATTCACGTTCTTTCAACATAAATTTATTAAATTCAGCAAAAGCAGTTTTATTTAAGACTTTGAATTTCTGTGATGATTCGATTTTAGCACCAGTAAAAGGTTGAGCGGTTATAGTATCCAAAGGTAATTGCCCAATTAATAATTGATTCCATGAAACTTTGACGCCATCAGGTACTTGAATCGTAGCTTTGAGAGGACCAGTACCCGTTACTTCTCCTGAGACACTCATCATAAAATCATCTTCTGATAATTGAGTAAGTTTTCTAAAGAAGATAATATACGTTCATTATTTATTATATACGAAAAAAAAAAAAATAATTATATATATATATATATTCTTTTTTACTATACTTACGCACTAGAAAAAGACAATTTACTTCCTGTCACGGCTCCCTGCGCTATAGAAGGAGCTATCACTTTAAGCGTTAATGGAATCATTATTATAATAATAAGGATTATAAGACCGCAACAAATACAGCAGTAAGCTTTCTTCTTATTACGAAAGAATCCTTTCTTTGCTGGTTCAGCGGGGTTCCTATTTATTTCCTCAGAATCCAAATCACGTGATGGATGTAGCTCAGTTGTTTGTGGATATGTATGATAATTCTTTGGAGGGGATGGAAGAGAATTGAAATCACGGAATAAATTATCGTTACTTTTTGCACTATCTTGGCTACTTTGACTTGTACTACTTGTATTATTATTCTTATATATATTATATGGATATGGGTTATTATTAGTGGGAGGAGATAAATCGTTTTGGTGTGAAGGTGAAATATTGTCAGAGCTATAAGCTAATCCACGATATTTCTCATCATCGTTTATATTTGATTTATTTATAAGAGGGGGTGAATGACGTTCAACGCCATTATTTGTATTATTTGTACCAATTTTGGGAAGAGGTTGTTCCAAAGACATTAATTTATGATCCTATTGTTTTTACCTTTTAGTATGTTTGGTGGTTTGTACTCAGGCAAAAGAAATATTTATAAAAAAGAAAAAAAAAAGTGGCATTAAAGGAGTGAGGCGTAATTTATAAGGGATGTGTAAACTTGTTTTTTTTATTTCTTTTCCTTAGAACATGAGATCAACCACCAGGGTAATCTATCAGGATCAAATTAAAAAAAAAAAGAAAAAGGGTAGATTTTCTTCCTCTTAAATAAAAAAGCAAAGGGGGAAAATAAAAATCGAGGAAAATGAAAATATTAAAAAGCAAAAAAGGTTCGATCATTAAATTTTATATAAAGACTAATTGTTTTGTTAACCAAGTTTTGACAATTTTCATATGTAATAACATATAATGTTACTTAATATACTATTATAGTTCGGTCATGTTCATCAACAATCGGAGTAACGCTGTAGTATATATAGTATATATATGGGCGTGAAAAATTTTGTCATATATACGTCTGAAAGGTTATCATTGTTTCAAGTCACGTGTTGAGATAGCATTTGTCGAGAAATTAAAATTTTAAACAACGAAATATGTAATATTTAATTTTCTACATGTTTATAACGACATAAACATTGTTTATAAACTCCTGATACTAAACACATCATATGCTTTCCACATTCCATACAATCAATTTATCCGGGTTTCGTTTTTTTGATTTGTAGTCCAAATTTAATTATGATACTCCTTTGAATACTTATTTTGTAAATGCTTCGACATAAGAAACTTTAGTAAATAAGATGTACATAATTATCTTAAACGTGTGAAAAAAAGTTTCACTTAACTTTATCGGTATTTTTTTTTTAAGATTCGAAGATTCGAAAGTTCACAATTGTAAGATAAATATATATTTCAATATCATGAAAATTTTTTTCCGGATTTCAATCGTTTTGCTTGGATGTAATTTTATAATTCTATGCCCAGAATATAAAAAACCGATTGAATCCCATATTTTAGAGTCAGTACTTAATTTTTTTTAGCTATGTAATAACCCAATCCACTTCTAAGTAATGTGCGGAAAATAGGGTTTCAAATTAAATAAATACTAATCCTAAAGTTTTACGTAATCTGCATTTCATGAAAATGGTAATTTTTTAAATGAAAGATTTGTATTTGTATTATGCTTAATTAAATTAATTAATTGGAAATGTAATATAAAAACTTATATTTATAAAACTTTATTCATATTTGTTTGAACAATGTAAACCCATTTGAAAAAATTCGACAGTACCGGACACATTTAGTTATATAACAAGCAACTTTGTAAAATTTTTTGCACAAGTAAACTGAGCTTTCACGTGGTCACGAGGTGTCTTTACTGTAAATTATGAAACGCTTACGTTACCTCGTCGTACGCAGTTTCTTAATGATCCCCAATACTAGCACTGTATTTGGGGAAGTCGTTTTATAGATTTCGCAAATCGGAATCTAAGTATATTGAAATTATTAATTCGCGCTAGTTTTGATTTCAATTGAAAATCTACATGACTTAAAAAATCATTGTACAAAGAATAAGGGTATATGTTATTTTTAAATTTTACGAAGGAATCATTCCCAGTTTGCCATCCTGAATTAGTTTAAGGGTTAAGAAAAAAGTATCCCGCCATATTTCATTGTCTCCATTCGGCATATTCTTCATAAAAAAAAATTGACCAGTTTCCGTTGTGTTTCAAAAACGCACCTTTGTGGTAAGGAGGGACATTGGTATAAAGACCATCGTCGGTCTATGAAAAAGACCGGGTCGCAGTCTATTATGGCCCTCATGGACTTTTATAGCTATATTTTGCAAGCAATGTATACAATGAGTTTTTGTTACGATAATAAATTAGTAGATGATTGATTCTCTTATGGGTATCTATGTGACATACTTACGTGATTTGGTCGGACTTGGGTTAATTAAATCTGTTGTTTCTTGTACACTGAAGGATTCTTTTCTACCTGTTGTTGCAAATTGCCGATTAATCAAAAATGTTTGCCACCTGGTAAAAAAGAAAGATGGTAACTGCTAAGCGTATTAGTTATGAGAATGACCACAAGGTTTGAATATATATTTGAAAAATTAAAAAAAATTAGGTTACCTTTTATAAGTTTTAGTACATAAGAATTTATGTAGTCCTCAAAACAGTGATTTTTTTCAAATAACGGTCAGAGCTCGCATCAGAAGACCGGAAGATCCTGAATTAATTGCTCTGATTGATTATGATTTTTATGATACCCACAACAATAATAAAAAAATATGAATGTGTTATAGACACAGGTGTACCTTCAACAATCTTTCCATATCACGTTAAAAGAATACTTCAAGGGAGAAGAGGGATGGGATTTCTAAAGTCAGTCGGTGAAGAAAGCGTAACCATCGACTTTTTGTTTTCAGATTTTTTTAATATCATTTTTATCATTCTTGAATAGTTCAAATGCTCTTCGAGAAATTGTTTAACGTGTTTCAGGAAGGTCGGTTGGGCGTTCTTCTGTCATCATTAGATATCCCATTTTTTAGCAAGGATTGTATTTATATACAAAATAAAATACGAAATAATCATCATGTCAAAATACGGTTAACTTTTTTGTTGTTTGTGAGATGATCCAAGAAACAATATTTTCTCCTTGTAGTTAATCAGAGAAATATGCTGAATTATTAATACTGCGCATCACTGCATTTGTAGCATTAGATTAAGGTTGATTACATCATTTGCGTCGCTCATGTGGACGAATATTTTATACATTTTCTTAACACTCCTATTCGAATAAAACTATTTTATCCGTAATTTTGGTCGTAGTGATAGTGTATCATTTCTGCGGAACTATCCCAATTTTGTTTAAGTGAAAAATCAACACCTTCAATGATAATCCGGAAGCCATTAAGCTATTTTTTCGCAATGGAAAAACTTTCATCCCTCTTCATGTTCTCTTCTCTTATAATTTACGTACTAGTCGTTTGATGTATCTCATATATTGATGTTGATATAACCATTATTCTTAATACTTTAACATAGTCACTCGTACTATCAAAGATCCGATTTTTTCTTCCCTCTTCTCGACTCAAGGACGAATAATATTATTTTGATTCTATTGTTAAGCTTCACACATTATCAACAAACGCTCAACAATATTACGAAAAAATTAAGAGGAAACCCGTATAACATTTAGACCTCCCTTGAATAGCTTTGTCCTCCAGAAAAACGAATTTTGCATGAAAGTCTGCAACTTAATTCGTTGTATTCCGAATCCAATACTCTAAATGTCTGAATTGCACAAATACCACTGCATAGAAAGAAATGTACAACACTGCCTCATCTGTGGGTTCCTTTTTCATTAGCACTACTATAAACTATTCCTGAAAAGACGTACGTTCCCACTCAAGAAACTTCCTCGAAATATTTAGCAAATCTGTTCCTAATAGCACTTAAAGAACAAATTCCAGATCGTGCCATTATGCAATAAAATTTTTTTTAACACGTTAATACTATATTCTAAGTCGAGACTCGAGACATATTCCAATTGAAAAAAATGATATGATAGTTACGCGTCTTTTTTTATCAAATTCGGTTTCACCTAAAATCCACAATTGGTGTAAATAGTGATCATCAACGAATTACATAAAGTCAGCCAATATACGATTCGCAAATTTTAATGTCGGCCTGCATTACTATGATACACACAATTGATATTAACGCCGATTACCGCTATCACGTGCAAGTGTATAACTCAGTTCGTTATGCCAATTACTCTACATCATTTAATTAAATAAATAACTTTATACGCCCTATATTATAAAATTATAAGTAAATGCTTATACAAATTACTGTGATTTAAATCAAGAAAATTTTTTATTAATACACGCAAAAAATACTGTAATACAAAGTTTGGGATGTAGCCCATGATAATAAAGTTTTTATGTTAATATACACTAGACTTCAGAAAATGGTAAAACGTTATATAAAAGGTTATTGCTCATTTTTTCACATGATTATTGGATTATTGATCAGGAAGCACCTCATAAAAACTAAAAGTACCCCTAAAATAAACTCATTACCCCGTTTTTATTATATTGTTCCAGAACCTAGAAACTTTAGAATCTTTAAATCGGTCAAATCAATTAACATTAATAATTTTGGGTATTTTGAGGTATTGATTAAGGCCCAATTCCCCAACAATGATAATAAATCCGCTCTGATTATTTTAACGATTTTTAAATAATTTTAATAATTTATACTGTATCTACCTCTGTTTAATATGTCTAATATTCTTACATTTATCCGTCAAAGAACTCAAAGGCAAATATCAAACAAAAACAATTTATTTATTTAGTCAAACTCGCAAGAAAGTGTTCTTTAGGCAAGTAATAAAAATCAGCAATTAAATTATTTTCATAAGTATATTAACTATAAATTTTTACATTTAGCTCCTGCAGCTCTTCCAATTGCATTACAAAATCCACAGACAGCTAAATCGTCCTCTAAGGTTGGTTGCCGTAAGTATCGATTATTATAACCTTTAGCGGTTGTAATATTATAAACGTAAGCTGTAAATTGGCTGTAAATACTACACTATTGTGGTTTGGTAATTCTGATTTGCAATCATTATACTTACTTGACTTTTGGATTTACAACTATTTACGAAGACCAACACTATCGTTTTCCATTCAATCAAAAACAATAACGAAATGTCAGTGATACTTTTTGATTGGAATATAATTTAGGTTTCAACCATGATCCTGCAAATCCAGGTCGCAACGGAATTGCAGCTCAGACGCAGCGGCAATAGTTGCGAACTTGCTTGCGAATGGAGACTATGGGGATTATGGGTTTCTTTTTATTTTTCGAAGTGATGCTGCAATTGGAGTCTGGTCAAGCAACGTTAAAACAAATATTCCATGGTATAAGATATTTATTTGGGCATTGCTAATTGTCACCGTCACCGCACCGCTTAATTCCGGCCAAAAATTTCAAAACTTACGGTTCCGGCTACTTAATTTAGATAAATTTCAGAAAAATTCCATGCTGTGATGATTGTTTCCTGGATTATTGGTAAAGTCCCGATATTTTTAACTCTGTATTAATAAAGCAAGTCTTTACATTTTTTGCTACACAACTTTGAATAATCAAAATTTAATCATCTGAGTTTTTAAGCAGATTGCGAAAGAGAGCAGATAAAAGCTTTATTAAAATTGTATAGTAAATAGTTAAAAAATTCTCTAACATATATTTTAAAAATCACGATAGAAGGATGTTGCATATTGGGAAAACATAAGACTACGTTGTCAATAACAGACACGTGTATAAGATAGTAGACAACAGTGTTGTGTTATGTGTTATTAGGTAACGATGTTTCTCTTTGTTGGTAACGCAATGCGCAATATGTTTTAGCAGACAATTGATGTTACTCTTTTTAGTAACGAGTAATTTGTACAAGATTTTTTGGTAATTATCTTTTCTTTTCTGGTAACGGTTATTCTTTTCTGGTAATGATGGTAGTCAAGTAATTTTAACGGTGTTACTCTTTTTTTAGCAACGATTGTTAACGTAGATCCTGAAATCTCCATATTTTGTATATGCTTTGTGTATTAATCATACACTGTTATCGATAACACTACCGATAATCGTCATTAGAAAATATGTAACGATCCTCTCCTGGTATTGTAACAAATTATTCCCGTAACTACATTATTACAAAAATTTATGGTTCGCATTTTGATCATAAATTTCTTAATTTGTTCAGTTTATCTCTTTTATTAAACGTTTGTTCGAATATTTTTTCCTTTTTCTCAAGAAATCGTTACAAAACGTATAAAACAAAAAAGGTATACGAAAAAAATTTCGGATAAAATCCGATCCGGTCATTGTTGTACAAATACAAGTATAAATTTAAGAGAGTGTAGGAAAGGTCCGAAGAAGAATTTCCAATCTCATTCCAAATTTCCAAAGACCGAAAAATATTTTATCTTTGTGGGGAAGAACGAAAAATAATCGTTACGAAACATAAAAAAGAATTTTTTTTTCTTATTAAGCCCAATCTTTGCCCTTTAAATAGTTTTTTTTTTTAATCTTATAATATTTACTGTAGGAAGTTTCTTCCGGTTCGGACAAATGGTTTAAAAATAGTTGAAAATTTATGATGAAGAGAGATTTAAAATATACATTTACGTAAATTTCAATAGTTTCAGAGCATTTTCAATACCTTTTCTTTCGTAAATTTTCAACTTGTTTTTGTTACGAAGAAAACTTTTTTTTCCAAAGTTCTTATTTAATTATAATATCTGAATGAATAATTCAAAAATCAAAATCACTTAAACAGTGAGACCAGTAACATTCATTGTAACTACAATATATCCATTGTAATTTATCATGCAACAATACAAATCGGTAGATCGAATATTAAATACAAGTATTACGATCATATCGGGTACTAAATAACATTAAATTATTTAGAGAAGTTACACTTTTGTATATCAACTTACAGTATATGGAAATCTTAAAATTTTCAATCTATCGGTGCGCTATTTCGGGTATTTAGTAGCTATTTTAAGGCATTTAAATAATTTTCTTTTTTTTAATCTTTATTAGACTACCGAATAAGTCTCTATTATAAAGAATTGACTTTTGACACGATGACAACTCGTTATGTCATCTACCAGGTACCAACTTCACTGTTAGTGGAGCAATTTCATTGGTTCGCTCGCATATAACCAGTTTCTCTACATACCCTTTTATAGATTAATAATTTAATATTATTTTTTTAGAAATATTTATTATCGAATTTATCAAATATTTATGCGTGGTTGGTGCAACATAGAATAATTCAAAGGAATAACATCCTTGGAGAAAAAACTACTACCAAATTTGGTATGCTGCGTCATAAATTCACTGCGCGAAAAATTTTGCTTCCAATATAAAATTGTTTTAACGGAATTTACCGAATCTGTAAATTCTTAACCAGAATTGATCACCATTGAAGCCAAATTTCCAATAACTGAAACTTTTTTTTCTTTTCCTTAAATTATTTTATCTACTATATAATTTACATATAATCATATTGTATCACGTTTGAAACGCTGCTATTGTTGATAAAAAAAAGTTAGCAGAAACAATATTCGTACGACAGGTAGATCATATAGGGGATCAAAGATTAGTTTTAAATCAAATGTGAATAAGTCTCGGATGCCGCAAGGTTACACGAGTTACACTACCGCTTTTTGTTATAATACCAAAAAAATGACATCAAGAATAAAAACTTATGTTTCAATACATTTAGTGCAACTGCTCAAATAGTACGGAGAAAATCTTTATATTGATTTTTTTTTTCCCAAATAAATGCAAATGGCGTCTATAACTAGTAATATATATACGAATTTTCAAAAAAAGAATGCATTAAAACCGAATCGGACCCGTTTTCAGACAACAGGATAAATGTTTGATGTCTAACATTATGCACTTTGTCACAATCTTCAGAAAATTTTATCTATAATAGTAATGAAATAGGTGTTTTTCTATATAAATAAAGCCTTTATATGTTGTTGTAATTATGTGCGATTTTTGTTGTTCAAATTTTTTATTTTTTCGTGTTCAATTTGATAAATTTGATAAATACATTCTTTATTATTAAATAAAATTATTTGGCATATATTATTGGTAATCAAATATACTTTTTTTTTTGTATATAAGTATAGCTGGTATATACTTTATTTTTTTTCTCGTTTAATTTTCCATTTTAATTTGACAAAGTTTAATATAGAAAGGGATCATCGAACTTTAATATTTAATGATAAAAACTTTGTTGTTAAAATTAAAAGGGAAAATAGAATCAGAAAAAATTAATAAATATGAAGAGAAGTAAAAAATGGACTTTAGTTTTCTTGTTAATATTGATATCGATTTTGACAATTACAAATGCGAGAACTTCATCGGTTTCTAATAATCGAATTATGAGTAGAAAAACATTACAAAAACGACAAGATATACCCAAACAAGATAATGCACCGAAGAAAGATGATGCTTCCCCTGCACCAAAAAAAAATGATGTTCCATCTCCAAAAGATGCTCAAAAAGACGCCCCAAAAGATGCTCCTAAGGATGCTCCTAAAGACGCACCTAAGGATGCTCCAAAAGACGCACCTAAGGACGCTCCCAAAGACGCTCCAAAAGATGCTCCTAAGGATGCTGCTAATGACTCTCCGAAAGATGCTCCTAAGGACGCACCTAAGGATGCTCCAAAAGATGTTCCAAAAGACGCACCTAAGGACGCTCCCAAAGACGCTCCAAAAGATGCTACCAAGGATGCTGCTAATAACGCTCCGAAAGATGCTCCTAAGGACGCTTCTAATGATGCTCCAAAAGATGTTCCAAAAGATGCCCCCAAGGAAGTTCCCAAAGATGTTCCTAAGGATGCACCTATAACAAAGCAAGATATTCCTAATGTACCAAAACAAGATGTTCCTAAGGGCGCTCCTAAGGATGCTCCAAAAGATGCTCCTAAGGACGCTCCTAAGGATGCTCCAAAAGATGCTCCTAAGGACGCTCCTAAGGATGCTCCAAAAGATGCTCCAAAAGACGCTTCTAATGATGCTCCAAAAGATGTTCCAAAGGATGTTCCAAAAGATGCTCCTAAGGACGCTCCTAAAGATATTCCCAAGGATGCTCCAAAAGATGCTCCTAAGGACGCACCTAAGGATGCTCCAAAAGATGCTCCTAAGGACGCTCCTAAGGATGCTCCAAAAGATACACCTAAGGATGCTCCAAAAGACGCTCCTAAAGATGATGCTCCTATAACAAAGCAAGATATTCCTAATGTACCAAAACAAAATGTTCCCAAGGATACTCCAAAAGACGCCCCTAAGGATAATGTTCCTACTCCTCAAGATAATTCTAAGGAACCTCCCACACCAAATCAGGATACTCCTAAAGATCCTACTCCTGTGCCAAATCAAGATGCTCCTAAAGAACCTTCCGCACCAAATCAAGATACTCCTAAAGAACCTTCCGCACCAAATCAAGATACTACTAATGTGCCAAAACAAGATGCTCCCGATGCTCCTGTAACGAAGCAAGATATTCCTAACGTTCCGAATCCAAATGTTCCTAAGGATATACCTTTACCAAAACAAGACACTCCTAACGATCCTCCTCCATCAAATCAAGATACTCCTAATGTGCCAAAAGAGAACGTTCCTAAGGATCCTACTCCTTTACCAAATCAAGATGCTAAAGATCCTCCTGCACCAAATCAAGATACTCCTAATGTTCCGAAACAAGATGTTCCTATAACAAAGCAAGATATTCCTAATGTACCGAAACCAGAAGATGTCCCTAAGGACCCTGTACCAAAACAAGACCCTCCTAAAGATCCTCCCGCACCAAATCAAGATACTCCTAATCCGAATCCCCCTGTGCCGAAGCAAGTTCCTGTGGAGGATCCTCAAAAGGACGTTCCTGCAAAGCAATCTCAAGTTTTTAATGAGTAAGAATAAGAATTGATTATGTTAAATAATTTATCTCATTCTGTATAAAATTTGTATTCACTTTTATTTATTTATTTTAAAAAAATTTATAGTGGAGTATTACCTACTATCACTGTACCCGACGAAACTATTACTAAATTACCCAATAATGGGGGCAAGGCAAAAGCTAATAATCCTCCACCATTTACAACATTTATAACAACATTCACATCAGTTATCCCTGGTTCAACAATGTTCATAACGACGACAAATGATAAAGGAGAGCCTACAACCTTTTCTACATATATACCACCGAGTACAGTTGTCATCGTAAAGAAAGTAACATCGCCCCTACCACCTGAACCTACAGATATTGATAATAATAGTACTATTATCTTGGAAGTAAATCATGCAATATGGAGTATTGCATTAAGTTTTTTGGTTGGAACAATGAGTTTCTCATTCTTTATTATTGCTTAATAAACGTATTAAATAGAATAGATTTAATAATTAGTGATTTAATGGATTATATGGTAGTGATTTAATGGACTTTATTATAATAATTTAGTGAGTTAATATTTAGTGATTAATATTTTGCGATTTTACATTATTAGTTTAAAATTTCAAATTTAATTATTTGTTTTTGTAAATATAGAAAAAATTCTTTTCAATGGTTTCTTAGAGATTTATTAGAGATAAATGCTCTAGAGAAAACATCATATTTAAATTTAAGATTAAAGGTTGTAAGATAATCGATTTAAAAACCTTAAACAAACAAATAAATAATCAATGATTACCTGATTTCTAACGAATTGATTGGACCATTACAATTAAGTCAGCTTAGTTTTTCAGCATCAAAATAATTGATAAAAGACACAAATCATAAATTCATGAATTTAAATTTATTGAATTAGTCGTTATAGAATCTCGCAATTTTTTTCATCGGCAGATTCATCGCTAAATAATATTTAATACATATATAAAACAAATCACTTTTTTAATACGGTACATATATATTGTGTTACTTTCCCATTGTTGTTTGTCCCATCGAAAGCGTGACTTGTACAAGTTGTAAATTAAACCACAAAATTTTATTAGAGAAATATTATAACAACATTTTTTTCCATTAATAAAAAAAAATCCGATAAGTTTAATTTAATAAAAATAAAAATATATTTTTTTTTTTTATTAATTTCTTCTTAAATTGCTTTCCCCCCGAAAAATGGGCGTTACAAATATTTAATTTCTATATAAGAAAAGATAATAAAATTTCAACGGACTATACAATATATCATTATTCCGATTCCCCGACAAAGGAAAATTAATTCCGATTGGTCTGCATGTATAAACCCTTATTATTTTTTCGCCACTTTTGTTTCATACTGAAATTCTCCTATAAAAAATCGGGTCTAATGGTTTCTACCTTTCTACCTTTATCAAATTTTCGATATAAGTTGAAAGATAATTTTTTTTAAAAAAAAAAATCTTATTTCTGAAAAAACGAGTAAATATGCAATACTTCACATAACGGCCTCTTCCGTGTAATTACGTTTAATAACTATGTGTCCGACTCATGTGGTATTACAATTATGCAAATGTTACCGTTGATCTTTTTAAAAGTATTTAAAAATTCACTTTTTATCATAGGAAAGTATTTAAGAATATATTTATTTATAAATCGCTTTATAATTTTTACGCTAATAAGTTAGTTTGGCGTACCAGAAAAACTATATGGAAATGAATTTTAACCCAGTTACTCACATGCGATACATGCAATCAATCAAGAATTGTAATACCTTTCTCTTTGATAAATAACCCTTTGAATTTTTTGAATTATTATTTTGACCAAGTTTCCCAATTTCCCCCCCATTCAAATAATTAATAAATTTTTTTTTTTTTTTTTTTTTTTAATTCTCATTGTTAAGCATATATGATAGGGTCGACCATTTTTATTTTTTAATTTTTTTTTTTTTTTTTTAGGAACTCAATTTTACGTCAATTAAATCAAATATGGCTAAGAAAAATCGAAGATTATATGTTGGTATGAATAGCATTTATAATCAATCCCTTTTACTTTTATTAATACATAAAATTTAATTTTATTTTATTTTTTACATTATAGGACCTGATACGCACGATATCAAAGATACCGTTTCATCCAATAATAATGATGATGATGAAACTTTTACAAATGAAGTTAGTAATCAACCAAGTGATCACGTCAACGGATCACCCACTACAATGATCGATCGTAGTCACACACTCCCTGGTAGTAATCCTTACAATTCGCCTAATTCTACTAATAACATAAATGCTGGTACTTCTATAAACGGAGACTTTAATAATCAGTCAAGAAGTGGATACACCAATGAATTATCTGTTGATGCACCCGCATTTCCTGCTTCAGACTCATCTCGCAATTTTATTGGGTCAGTTAATGTTAATACTGGTACTTCTTCAAATGCTTTTACAATTGGAAATGGCCCTAATGACCTTAATTATGCTAGTACTTCTACAATTGGAAACGGATTACCAAGTGGATCAAATTCATTTTATTCTACTTCTACAAATGAAGAATTTATGAATCGCAACCTCGATGGTAGTTTTGTTAATAATTTTTTAAATGGGAACGTTAATAATCAGTCAAGAAGTGGATACACCAATGAATTATCGGTTGGTGCTGGTATTACCACTTCTCGTATACCCACATTTCCTTTTATTGGCTCGGTTAATACTGCAAATACTTTTACACTCAATGGCTTTAATGGTGCTAGTACTTCTACAATTGGAAGCGTTATAAATAGTGGACACACAAACGGATTACCAAGTGGAACAAATTCATTTTATTCTAATTCTACAAATGAAGGACTTATGAATCATAACCTCAATGGTAGTTATGGGGGTACATTTACAAATGGGAACGTTAGTAATCAATCAAGTCGTGAATTATCGGGTGGGATTAATCGTTATACAATTGATGGCACTAAATATCTATCATTTAGAGTAGATAATATACCAGAAAGTGGTGATTTTATTAAAATTAGAGACGTTATATATGAGTTAATTCCAGAAGATAGGTTTATAACCGATGTTGGTACATGCACAAATGGAGGTTATAATGAACTTTTAGCTAACATTAATCCACCTTACAATAAAAATGCAGCTACACACTTTAATGGAGGATTTTTAGATCCATTTTCAAATAATAATAATAATAACGAGAATTATCAATTTCAATTAGTTTCTAGCACCAGTCCTTTAGTTGATATACCGAATGATATTGATGATAATTTTATATTTAATGGTAATAAATATCCATTCCAAAAAAATTTTTCCGGTTAATAAGAATTTATGGACGATAAGAAAAAATATGAAAACAATTAATTATTTAAACAAATTAAATTATTTTACATTTATTTTTTTTTTTTTCCTGTACGATAGTTATTCTCTATAGAACAAAATTATATATAATTAATTTTTTAAAAAAAATTATCAAATAGGATTTGAAATTCAATTTGATTTCTCATAGTAAAAATTGTAAATCATCTATGAAATATAAAATTCATAGAGTTCTCATACTATTGACCATAATGTAAATTAAAAGAAAAAGTTTGGTCTTATAAATAATAAATATTTCGGTAAATTTCGGTCAAAGTAAATGTACGTCGATCAAATATGATTCATTCTAAATGAATAAAAAGGTAAATTAAAGCAATTACCTAAAATCGATAGATTATAATCACTATTGTAGAATGAAATTCAGAATCGGCAAGTAATATCCAAATAGAGGATAATTATATGTATTTATTAAATGAAACCTTTTTAAATAAAATATTTGATTTCCTTAAAAATGACGAAAAAAAAAAAAAAATTATTATTATTATTATTATTATAACTTTTTTGTGAATGATCAAAAAATCTCATTGTATAAACAACCAAGATTTAAATCAAGTTCCCAAAAAATTGGAAATGGTTCCTGGTTATTATTATTCCGATTCATCATTATTTCTAATAATAAATCATTCTATAAATAGATCTCTCACCATGCATGCGTAATCATTTGTATATTAAAATGTTGAAATTGAAAAAATGAAATATTAATTAATATTATTAATATTATTCTTTTTTTATTCTTTTTTAAAAGTTTGAAATTAATATAAATAGTATCATATAAAATCAAAGAATTTGAAAAAAAAAAAAAAATATTTAAAAATGTCTTTTTTTTTTTTCCAGAGGGCTAACGCTATTAATAGTTAATTCGAGCCTTTTTACCAAAATAATGTCATCATTTTATAGTTTGTACTACAAACTTTCCATATAAATAAATAAATATGCAAAAGGAACTCCGGTTTATGAAAAAATTCAACTATTTTATGTAGGATTTAGTGAAATTAGTAATTTTTAATAAATTTTTTTGTTACACATTCGTTTGATAATCCCAACGAAAGATAATGAATAATAATAAAATTTCTTTTGATTTAAAAGGAGTATAATGAAACATTGTCATAATATTACATAATATCTAATGATTTCAATTATTTCAGCTGAAAATCGTAATTTCTTTGTTGTCCTGTCGTAGTACATCAATCTCATTGATAAAGTTTACAGTAATTTTCTAGAATAAAAATATTTCTTATATAATTAAATAAATGTTTAAATTTAGTTTAGATCATTTAGAAAAATCTATATCGAAATTAATAGGTTATTAATAAACCGTACAGGTAGGATTTAAGTTGGTATGAGTTTATTAAGGTTTGTTAGGGTTTATTAGGGTTTATTAGGGTTTATTAGGGTTGGTTAGGGTTGGTTAGGGTTGGTTTATATCCAATTTATCCAGTTTATCCAGTCGGATTTGTAAACTCCTTAAAATTGTTCCGTATAATGATGATTAATATTAATTTTTATTAAAAAATGCGTATCGAAATAAACCAATATTTTTGATCCATTTAGTTTCTATAATTAGTACGACCTAAAAAAAGTTTAACTCTTTTGATGTGTAGCTTACCAAGTTGATTTCATATTGATTTTCAGATTATACTTCTTAAACCGGTTAAGAAGTTAATTTTAGGAATGTTAGTGTAAACATAGTTGTTATACTTGTTATACTTTTGAAATACATAAAAAATATATATAATAATCCAAAATGAATGTATAAATATACAAAATAAACAATAAATATTTTTATCATCGTTTTTTTTTTCTCTTTTTTTTCTTTTATATTGATTTTTTTTTTTATCCTCATTTTTTTTTTTCTTTCTCTTAAAAATTTTTTTTCTCTT